TAACTGTGACCCGCCCCCACTCCACCCCCCCACTCCAGGTTCTAGGAATGAGGAGAGAGCAGAACAATGTGGAGGAGCAGGGGGTGTGGAACACTTCTAGGAAACATGGATGTGAACAAGAGGGCAGGTGGGCTAAAGATGGAAGCACAAATACAGGATCAAATCATTCATGAAAAGGTCGAGACGCAGATAAGTGACAGCGGGGGTGTACGGCACCGTTCAGGAGTCGGGAGAATAATGGGAGGAAACGCAACGCACAGGAAATAGTGAGTGATGAGGTAGCAGGTCAGAGAGGATGAGAGTCAGGGCAGTGACCTAAAGGTGGGGGTGGGGGCTTCGAAGGCTGCGAATCCGTCCAGGCCGCAGCTACAGCTGCCTCAGGTTTTACTGATGCTAAACAATTTTAGACTTTTATTTTGGAAAACATTTCAAATTCACTTTTTTTTTTTTACTTAAAGAATAATATATTTTTTTTCTTATATGTGTTTTGTAGCAGCGTCATTTCAACTCAACGGTTTTTCGTTTTTGATCCTGGTAGAGTAATTTGCGAGGTGTTCCCGTCGCATGACACGCTCGCAGTGACACGGCCCAGTCTTATACAAATGCAAATGAGCCAAAGCCACGGCCACGCTGAGAAGAGAAAGAAAGGAGACGGTGAACTCCCCATTAAACTTCTGCTCCACCGCCCATCCATGCACCGATGTTTCGTTTTAAAAGTTTGTTAAATACCATTTCCTTCAGCCGCTCCTCGGGGCTGAGTGCCTCAGCTTTAACCACGTCCAATAACCTCCTTTGTACCTCTGTGGCTGGTGTAAAGTCCTTTTGTTGGCCTCAGAGCAGTAAAGGTCCAATCATCCTCTCCATCAGGACCACACTCTGTTCATCCACAACTTTTTATTTCCGTCTGTGAAACTGCACGGAGACGGAGATATTGTCATTGGCTACGGCAGGAGGATTTGTGAGACCCCGGGGTCCGGCTGGTCCGCTCCTCAGCGGGCTACAACTTATTCAACAGTCCACGACCCGGAGGAGGTGCTGCAGTGGTGCGTGAAGAAAAACATCCCATTTGACATGCATAGCTGCAGTTACTGCAGATTAGCATACATGTGCGGTGACACAGAGGAGTCTCTGAAGGACTGTGGACGTCAAACCTTTTTTTTTTCTTTCTATTCCTTTGGCAGTGAAAAAACATGAACAGAAATAACGAGAAAAAACAAATAACTTCTATTCATTTGGCAGTAAAAAAAACATTAACAGAAATAACGAGAAAAAACAAATAAATAAAAATAATTATAATATCATCCTTGGGTCAGAACCTGTATCCAACTCGATAATATTCTTCTCACATAATAAATAATAAAAATGCATGTTTCATCTGTGTGCACTTCTATGTTAGGACATGAACCTGAAGTGCAGTTTTAAATGTGGAGAAAATGTGAAAATTACTAAAAAAAACCACAAACTTTTCATTTAATTATACCACTAATAATAATAATACCAATAAAATAAGTCATATTTATAAAAAGAATGAAGTTTAATTTCCTCGTTGAATAATTTGAGTGTAATAATAATAATACTAATAATAAGTATATTTACAGTACATATACACTGATATATTAACCCCAAAGATGGAAAAAAGGAAAAAAATATTTAAATAATCATAGTAAAAATACATTGTTGTGGTAAAAAAATATATTTAAATAATAATATATATAAACGTGATAAAACATTAGTAAGTTTCAACAGACGAACGAACTGATAATTCGATAGATTTTTCTGGAACTTACGAGTGACGTTATCGACTCGACTTCTTCCTGTCAATAATCCGACAGCCGTTTAATCGTCTTTGATTCTCCTTGGACTCAGATTGTTGTTGATGTTGCTCTGATGTTTTCCTCGTGTTTCCTCCTCCTCCTCTTCCTCCGCTGCTCCTCACTGTATCCACTGCTCCGTCTCTCCGACTCTGAAGCTCACGCGCGCAATCAGCACTTTTATAAAGTAGCAGCGGCTCGAACAGCCAATCACGTCCCGCAGCCTGCTGCCGAAGAGCCTGCAGAGAAGGACGTAAAAGCGTTGTCCTGACAAAAAGAGAAAACACTTTTAACCGCCATTTCCGATGTTTTTTTTTGTTGTTTTTTTGTTGTTCGTATTCTGATGACCTAGCCCACCACATGAGATGCTGCTGCCGCGGTCATGAGAACAGTTCTGCCTCAAGGTTTGACCTGCCGCTAGGTCAGAACACAAGATCCAGATCACTCTGGCTGCAAGTTATAAAAAAAAAAAAGAATTGTATAGGGCTGTTCAAAATCCGGATCACTCTGGCTGCAAGTTATATAAAAAAAGAATTGTATAGGGCTGTTCAACAGGGGGGTCGTGACCCCTGTGGGGTCCATGGCGGTACTGCTAGAGGGTCATGTACTTATTGATTGATTTAAAAAAAAAATAGGGCAAGCATTCTTGCCTTATAGCTAGAAGGTCACTGGTTCGATCCCGGGTCATTCTGTATGGTGAATGTTGGTGTGAATGATTAGTTTGTCTTTATAGGTGACCCTGTGGTGGACCGAAGACCTGTTCAGGGAGACGATCCCAAGGCTGCCCCCTGCTGGTTGGACTCCAACTACATCACGGCCCTGAAATGGATGATGATAGAAGATGAAAGAATGGATGTTAACAGGTATAGTATGAGCAGGTATTGTTAACTAATGTTTAAAATCACACCACCTAGTGGTCAAATTAAGTTCTTCTCTTACTCTGGGTGGATGGACGACTGGATGGACCCACAGACAGAGGGATGGATGGATAAAAAAATTCTAGAACTTGTGACTCACACATGCACATGTGAAACAAAGACACCAATCAGGATTTGTTTGTCAAACACCCCCTTGTTTCTGCCCCTGACCTACAATAGGTCTTTCTCTGGACCCGACTTCAGCCGCTCTATTTTAAGACCCGACTATTCCTGGAGCGTCACTTTGGTCATTAGCACAGTTCTAGCACTTATTAGTCTTCATTACCATCATCATCATCATCATCATCAACATCATTACTAACTGGCTCTGTGTGTGCGTACAGGTGTTTTATTACGTGTTATACAGTACGTTATTCAACCAGTCACTGGTTCAGGGTCAGCAGCAGGACGGACGTCTTCATGGACGTTTGTGTTTACTGTGTTTAAATGCAGTCATTCAAAGTCGTCTACTGCAGCGTGAACGTTTTGATCATAGCAGCAACTTTTTTTTAAACTGTGTAATTAACTGTGTAACTGTGATAAACTGTAACACATGATAAGCGACAAAAGCTCGATTCCTGCCCCTGGACAATAACAGTTGTGAGAGGCAGATAAACAGAGCTCAGCCTCTGATCTACTCACACACTGAAGTCACCACGGTACGGAGACATGCGGGTTCCGTCCCAGGTGGGTGTCCAGAGGGGGAGACCTGACAGTAGAAGGCCTTTGTCCAACCACGCAGCTCCCTGTGCCCTGCAGACGTGGCCTCCGTTTCTCAATAACTATCAGCACGTCTCTGTGTTTGCAGGGGAGTCATGAGGATTTAAATCACAGCGGCGACTGGAGATAAGTGCGCACATGTGAAAACAGACGAGGAGCTATGGAGAGTGGAAGACGTTCAAATGAAGTGAGGAGTTTGTCTTTCAGTTGAATGTTGTTTTTTTAAAATATAATTTAAAAAATATTTTAATTTAATTTATATTTATCAGAGACGAAGCAGTTAGACTGAAGCACAAATATAATAAATACAAATGCAATCCACTTCTTTTAAAATTCCTTTTAGTTTTTTTCACAAAAATAATTTTAAAAAATCAGATGGATCTAGAAAAGGTTCAAACTCAATTTTAAATCTCAAAATAATAATAATAAAAAAGTTCTCCCGCCACCCGTATCGCTCCCACACAGCTGTCTTTAATCTGACCACAGCCCTATAAGTGGAACGTCAGCCACATTTGTTTTCATTCTCTTCATCCTATTCACAAAGTCTGAATGTGTTTGTCTGTAAAATATATTTCGCTGAAGGTCACACACCCCTCTGTGTCAGCCCTCACCCTCGGATATTGAAAACAGTCGCCACGGTTACCTCGCTTAACCCTAACAGGAAGAGGTTCTCGATGAAAACAGCCAGGATCGAGAACATGTTGTAGGAATCGTGTCAATAAACGGGACTAACCTGGGACACGCCGTCCAATCGGGTTCATTCTACTCCCTGTCCAATCCCAGCCCGACCTGCCAGAGTCAGGTGACACCGGGACGGTTCTGCAGTCGCATCACAAGACCAACAGCAGCAGACCTACAGAATAAGACAACAACAAAACTAATAATAAAGTGCAGTGAATAAAGTGTCCGGCCCTGAGATCGACTTCAACACTGATCTTTGATCCAGATCGGTTCTGGTTCAGACTGGGTTCTGGTCAGTGTTCTGGACTGTAGTCGGCCGAGAAGAGACAGAGAATGTGGATGTTCTGTTCTGTTCATCAGGGCCGAGAACCAGCATTTGTTTGAAGAGGAGTGGAACAGTAATCACGTGTTGACATGTTTATGTCTCCTGTGGTCAATGCCAACAACAACAACTTTATAGTTTAAGAAAATGTTATGGTTTGACCCGGAGCCAAGTGTATGATTTTGAAACATAGGGAGGAGAAGTGAGTTCATCTGTATGTTTTCAAGATTATTGATGTGACGTTCAAGAATATTGTACTGCCGTTCGTTGGTTCTCAAAGTATGGCACGCAGACCGCTGCTGGGTCCAAAAACACCTACCAACAGAGATAAAGTTAAACACGTCATTGACGTTACTTACATATTTGCTTTATTGATCAGTGATGAAAATAATTGTGGGTCGCAGCCGAGGTCTACAACATCAGTGTGACCTGGTCCGACATCAGAACACGTCTGGTACGTCAGTGACACTGCTTCACGGTAACGTGATGACGTGAGCAGTAACGAAGACCAGCTACAGACCTGGACCGCAGCTCGTCAACACTCTGCTGTTAATAACGCAGTGAGCTGCAGATGTTCGCCGTGCAGATTTCCACGGAGGTGGATTTTCTCGTCTGGAAACAAAGAAGGAAAAACTGGACAGTAACATGAAGAGCAGCTGTTAGATTTTATACTTCATACCATGGAGCGACTCCAAGTAGCCAACGTTAGGAAATGTTTTTATTTTTATTCAATAATAACAACTTGGTTCCAAATGCTGTGCAGGAATTTTTATAGTTATGGTGGGGGTTTGGGGGAGGCAGCGTGCTGACAGTGTGCAAACAAACAGTAAATGTAGTGATTTGTGGATGAAAACCAGTCCAATAACTAAATAAATACTCTCACTTTTTCCCCCTCTTTTTGCAGCATTTTTCTTTTTTAAGTTTCAAACACAGAAGATTGTTCTCAATCTAACAATGCTGTTCCATCCTAACAGCAGGTTAATGTACCAAAATTACAAAAGTTTTCAGATTCACTGGTGTAATCAATATTATAATAAAATAAAAACTGAAAAGAACATTTTAAGTATTTGTACTACAACAGTCGACTGACCACTGGTCAGCAGATTTGAAATCAAACTGTCTGTAAATGTAATCACTACCCAGCAGTTTTGGCGGTGGCCTTTGACCTCAAGAGTCTTGATGATAACCCTGTCCACAAATCACTGCCGGGCACATGAACAGCACACGGGTCACTCCCACTGCGCCGCCGCCCTGCTCAGCCTGGGAACAGGAACAGGGACTTTCAGCTGACATCAACAAGTACTAGACCCGATGAAGTATCCGGATTATTATTGACCTGGACTCTTTACATGGAGCACAATGTCAGCGGCAGTGGAGGCCGCGCTCTCTTTTGTTTACTAACAATGTAAAGTCAGAGACAGCGAACGTCAAAGTCAGGATAGGTGGAAACTTCCTCTCTGCTGAGGACGCGTGCAGGAAACTTCTGGAACGATGTGATAGCGGGAACAGAAATGAAGTAATGAAGACGTCAGTGTTGTGTTTTTACAGTTGTTTATATTCTATACAGCTGTTTAGATACACCCCGAGGTGAAATATATATTTAGAAATATACTCCTCAGGAACGACTCACTTGTCTATAAGGAGATCGATTAACAAAGTGAATCTCTATTAATTTAATTGCACTGATGTCTCCCTAGATGTGTCAAAAAATCATGGGATCAAAAAAAGTGCAAATTATTAATAATTTAAGATGTTAATAAAAAATGTGAAAAGTTAAGGGTTAGCATAATCCAGTGGCTTCCTAAGTGGGTGAAGGTGGGGTTCGGGGGTCAGGGGTGGCACATCAAAATGAAGGGATTTCAACTCTATTTACTATTTTCTTCATCTGTTTATCTGACTGTATTCGATAGATACTAATAATGTAGGAATTACTGCATCAACCGAGTTCTGGTTCAACAGTTCCAAACAGTTCCAAGGCACAAGATGTTAAACTACCAGAGTTGGGAGCTTGACAATAGTCGCTGAAAAAAAAAAAGTCTAAAATAAAACTCTTTGCCAAAACAGAAAATAAAATGTGATTCAGATTTTCATACTGCATCAAGATGGACCACTGCAGCCAAGCAAGCAGATCTAATTAGCGTCAGTGTTCTAATTGGGCCCTGTGTGTTCCATTAGTGGTTGACACAAAGCTAACGTTGTTTTCCGCTCAGATCGGTTTTCCCACACATTTGTGGACCAGATATTTTACAACAGCTGATCCAATTCTTTCAACCCTTAAATTCAGGAGTGAAAAAAAACCTGTACTTGACGGACATTAAACACAACGTTCTTGTGAGTCGTGTGTTTTTGTGGATTTTATGCCTGTGTTTTGTTACAGACCTGATGACATCAGCGTTACATTCCCAAACCCTTTCCCTTTCATTAACTTCAACAACAACAAATCTAATCCTAAATCCCACTTCTTACCGTGATTCTAATCTGAACCTTAATTTATTGGTAACCACAAACCAAACCTCCAAATACGGTATAGTTATGGTGGGGGTTTGGGGGAGGCAGCGTGCTGACAGTGTGCAAACAAACAGTAAATGTAGTGATTTGTGGATGAAAACCAGTCCAATAACTAAATAAATACTCTCACTTTTTCCCCCTCTTTTTGCAGCATTTTTCTTTTTTAAGTTTCAAACACAGAAGATTGTTCTCAATCTAACAATGCTGTTCCATCCTAACAGCAGGTTAATGTACCAAAATTACAAAAGTTTTCAGATTCACTGGTGTAATCAATATTATAATAAAATAAAAACTGAAAAGAACATTTTAAGTATTTGTACTACAACAGTCGACTGACCACTGGTCAGCAGATTTGAAATCAAACTGTCTGTAAATGTAATCACTACCCAGCAGTTTTGGCGGTGGCCTTTGACCTCAAGAGTCTTGATGATAACCCTGTCCACAAATCACTGCCGGGCACATGAACAGCACACGGGTCACTCCCACCGCGCCGCCGCCCTGCTCAGCCTGGGAACAGGAACAGGGACTTTCAGCTGACATCAACAAGTACTAGACCCGATGAAGTATCCGGATTATTATTGACCTGGACTCTTTACATGGAGCACAATGTCAGCGGCAGTGGAGGCCGCGCTCTCTTTTGTTTACTAACAATGTAAAGTCAGAGACAGCGAACGTCAAAGTCAGGATAGGTGGAAACTTCCTCTCTGCTGAGGACGCGTGCAGGAAACTTCTGGAACGATGTGATAGCGGGAACAGAAATGAAGTAATGAAGACGTCAGTGTTGTGTTTTTACAGTTGTTTATATTCTATACAGCTGTTTAGATACACCCCGAGGTGAAATATATATTTAGAAATATACTCCTCAGGAACGACTCACTTGTCTATAAGGAGATCGATTAACAAAGTGAATCTTTCCTCAGGAACGACTCACTTTCCTCTCTTTAAGGAGATCGATTAACAAAGTGAATCTCTATTAATTTAATTGCACTGATGTCTCCCTAGATGTGTCAAAAAATCATGGGATCAAAAAAAGTGCAAATTATTAATAATTTAAGATGTTAATAAAAAATGTGAAAAGTTAAGGGTTAGCATAATCCAGTGGCTTCCTAAGTGGGTGAAGGTGAGGTTCGGGGGTCAGGGGTGGCACATCAAAATGAAGGGATTTCAACTCTATTTACTATTTTCTTCATCTGTTTATCTGACTGTATTTAATAGATACTAATAATGTAGGAATTACTGCATCAACCGAGTTCTGGTTCAACAGTTCCAAGGCACAAGATGTTAAACTACCAGAGTTGGGAGCTTGACAATAGTCGCTGAAAAAAAAAAAAGTCTAAAATAAAACTTTTTGCCAAAACAGAAAATAAAATGTGATTCAGATTTTCATACTGCATTCAGATGGACCACTGCAGCCAAGCAAGCAGATCTAATTAGCGTCAGTGTTCTAATTGGGCCCTGTGTGTTCCATTAGTGGTTGACACAAAGCTAACGTTGTTTTCCGCTCAGATCGGTTTTCCCACACATTTGTGGACCAGATATTTTACAACAGCTGATCCAATTCTTTCAACCCTTAAATTCAGGAGTGAAAAAAAACCTGTACTTGACGGACATTAAACACAACGTTCTTGTGAGTCGTGTGTTTTTGTGGATTTTATGCCTGTGTTTTGTTACAGACCTGATGACATCAGCGTTACATTCCCAAACCCTTTCCCTTTCATTAACTTTAACAACAACAAATCTAATCCTAAATCCCACTTCTTACCGTGATTCTAATCTGAACCTTAATTTATTGGTAACCACAAACCAAACCTCCAAATACGGTCGGACCCGCAAAATGTCCCCACAACGATAGTGTTTTCCCATAAATTCACCCTCACACTCACTTACACTCCCTCTCTCTCTCTCTCTCTGTTTTTGAAATCACGATTGTCGTTGCTTTCTTTTAAAACAGCTGCTGGAATGTACGACTGTTTTCTTTGGCTCCGAGTCTCAGTTCAACATTTATTGCAGGTTTCCCTTTATTTATGGAACATGTTTTTGTGGGTTCTGGTGGACCATATGTCTGGGCCACAGTTTGAAGACCTGTCAGGTATTTAGTGATGACCATCTCACTGAGCAGTTGTCTTACTGTGTATATATATAAATACTGTATACAGCTGTAAAATGACTGTGGAATCAGAATCCATATTTATGACCAAATACATTTACACATACAGGGGATTCTGAAAAATAAATACAAAAACATTAATGTGAAGGCTGAGATATAAAAATAAATACACAGTAGGGACAAAAATGTAAACAAAGACCGGTGGGTTGATGTTATTTACCAACCCATGGTCTGGGGACTGGTGCAGGTCCGTAGGTCATTTAGTACCGGGTCACAGTGGGACTTGGTACAGGTTGTGGACGGCTAGTATAGTATGCTATTAATTAGGCTACGCTAACAGTCATTCATAAAAGATGACACGTTATTACCGGACAACCGTCCCTGGTACAAAAAAGGTTGTGGACTGCTAGTATAGCATGCTATTAATTAGGCTACGCTAACAGTAACAGTTCTACTGTTATTGTTCATCTGCCCCGATTCTGATGCAGTGGTGGCAATAATGAAGCAGCAGGTGGCGCTCACTAACTGATGAACTAACTAACGAGACAGGAGGGATGCGATTATTAATTACGGTCACTGGAACGTGTTGAACTCCAGAACCATTAGCATGGCAGCTAAACAGATGCTAATCACCAGTTATTCAGCAGCTCAGACAAAAGGGGCCCAGTGGAGTCTGACCCTCTTTCTGTTCCAGTCCTAATTGGACCAGTGATGGCAGCAGAGTGAAAGAAACTGCTTACACATAATTAGATAAACTTGAGTGTCTCATCAATGGCCGGCATTGATGAAGATTTTGGGGTCAACGAGGGCTACATGCAGGAGCAGACCAGCGTTAGGGAGTTAGGCCTGATTCTCTCTGCTCCAACAAGAGGAGGTTTCCTGTCCTCCTGGTGGGGACAACAAGCAGCCCATTGTGTGGAGCAGAGACAGAGAGAGAGAGAGAGATTGTTGTGGGTGAGGGCGAGTTCTGACGATGACCCAGTGAAGAGTCCGAGACGAGGTGTTACCCTTTGGTTGGAAGTGAGGACAATTGCTACTTGAGGGAGAAAATAAACAACGTTGCACCAAGCTGCGCCCCACATGAGAGTACTCCAGCCTTATTTTTAACTCACCGCTCCAAGTCTGTTGACACTTGTTTGAATCCTACACACAGTTCGACTCTGACCAGCCGGTAAAAGAGCACGATAATGAGATTTCCTTACACTTTTATAAATAAATACCAGACGACGAAGAAATGTACTGTAGGCCTGGAGCCCAGTTTGAGCACCAAACGAAAGTGACTGTGAACGGAGGTGCCGGTCCTTTCTGCATGTTACACGTACAATTTTGTTGGCCTTCGGAGACTTTGTCGATGCAAGTCCCAACAGATGAATAGAGCAGTACCACCGGAAACCACTAGGGGCAGTGTTGCACAATATAACTCATGTGTTCTTATACAGAAGAAACTCAAAGAAAAAGACAAGGAAAGAACAACAACTGACACCTGTCTGGACCAGGGACATGGATTCTCTGTCCACATGCTGCTTTGTCTCTAATGTCCACACAGACCACCACTGTCTCTAATGTCCACACAGACCACCACTGTCTCCTCTGTCTCTAATGTCCAAGGCAAGAACAAGGCAAGAACACTAACCACTCTTCCACTACTTGGCCCAGCAACAGTAATCAATATGTGATTTATAATTTATAAATTATAAATGTAGAAGACAACGATTAGTCACTGATGTTTCTTCCGTCGCTCCTGTCCTAAACAAACAGCAGACGGACTAAAGACGGAGACCGAGGACAACAGATCGGTTCTTATGTTGTCCAGTGAAACAGAAAGCAGTGACGCTGTGATAACAACATGGAGTCAGGTAAACTGAGGAGCCTTTCTCTGCGTGTGCGTCACGGAGCAGCCAAACGTCCGATAATGAACAAACGACTTTAAATATGTCATCGCTGCAGACGGAACACAAAAACAACCAACGTCCTATGGTTGGATGTTGGCCTCCACTGCTGGTAGGTGAAAGATTAAGGCAGCTGGGGGGAGGTGGAGTTGAACGGGGGGAGGGAAGAGGGTCTGTTGGATAGCACATGATGTGAAAACAAGACCAGTGGGAGGCGTTATTGTCTGTTTTTCATGTGGAGGGACCAAGTAAATAACAGATGTCTGAGGAAAGGCTTAAATACTGCCTCCAGTGGACGTGGAGACTCGTGTTAATCCACCTGCACTGCCTCCAGTGGACGTGGAGACGTGGAGACTCGTGTTAATCCACCTGTAATGAGCTGTTTGGTCAAATGTCATCACAGCAACAACCACGTCCTGCTGCTTTAACCTCTGACCTCACGTTACGGAAGTGAAGAAAAACAGTCTGCCTGGACTTTTGAAGACGTTTACCAGGACGTGTCTAAAATGTCATGTGACCACGTGATGTAGACAAAATAAATGAGCACAGGCATGATTCCACACATGCACACATAACATGTCAGTTTCACAGAAACAGAACTCTGCTTTGCAGGAATCACATGGCGTGACGTCAGCAGAGTCACACAGACGGCAGCGAAATGAAAAAAAGAAAACGTTCAGTGTTGATGATCCCAGATTACGTTCAAGCCCAGCGTCAGCCTCACCGACTGTAACAAACACCAGGACTGTCGTCCTGCCTAACACCACTAATAATCCACAAATAATTAATTTGGCGCCGCCTATGGGGCATAGAGATATTGCAGTTATAGTGCAGTGAGGAAGTAAATTATATTTGTAATAATTAGTATACAAAATACAAAATAAAGTTCCAATAACAGGCAAATAAGACCTACCATCTGCAACCTGAACACTAAAATTTCAGCATAAACTTAAGCGTAGAGGTCGATTTTAGCTCACTAACCCAGAACTGTGCGTTAGCTGAATTACTTGTTACTCATCATACTACTTGAACAACTGCAATTTGCTAAGAAAATATTCCGTATGGTCCATAATATTTATCCTTTTTTTATTATTAGTTTAACCTGCTAGAGGAAATTGGGTCAGCTATACTATGAATAACTGTGAGGATTTTTTTTTCATACTGAAAACTCAGTTCAACCCTCACTGTCTGCATGAAATATAATAATGATAATAAAATGTCAATAATTTTTAACATTTAGCATTTGTTTCATATTCACGTCCATATAAATATGTACTTTAATGTACCTGTAGTACTCCTCTAAGTCTTCATACTACTGCAACCACTAAAACTGACACTATAAATACAAATGTATTTGCGGCTCTTGGTGAATTTTCTTTGGTGGTAAAATGCTACAAACGTCGAATGATTCAGACCTCTTTTCCAGAACTAACAGCGTTTACCCGGGACTTTCCTCACTGCCGCCGCCGTTCTGGTCGGTGTTTCTGCTGTGAGCTTCACTCACCCTGCCACTGCAAGATTCCCATCTCAAAGATAGCTTTGATTTGCAAATGGAAAAACAAAGATGTTTTTGTTGCAGTAGAATAGGGAGACAATCATGTGCTCGATAATATCTGTCTATGAAGTGGAAACACAGAGGTGTCCTGTGTTCCTGTGACCGGTCGCCTCACCCCCTCAACCCCTCTCCCTTTCTGCTGCCAGGCTTTTTTCCCCATATAGTTTATTTAGTCATGTCGCCCAAACAAAGGCATGCATGTAAAGATCTACGGACACATAAATAAAAATAATAAACTGTTGAATAACACGCTAGCAACAACTCCAATCACAGCTGATTATAAAACAAATAGGGTGGGAGCGGGGGCACTGTTTGATGAGCGAGAAGTGGTATTTTAAAATATGTGGAAGTGTGACACTTAGTGGACGAATGTTTATTTTGATCAGGCGAGGGCGGGGCACTCTCGGGGCCCTTCACCGTTCATAACCAAAACAGAACGTAGTAGTTAATGTAGTTGTTTTCTGTCACCAACGTCAGTCAGTTTAACTACCTTGTTATGGAGTGGTTTCTGTCAGTTACAGACAATATGTATTTAACATATATGACTACCTGAAAAATGAGCAGCTTATTGTATCAATTACTACGTCAACCCCAGGGTTTCATTGTGTTGTAATAACTTGTTCTACCATGAGATGGCAGCATAACCATATTGACGTTGATTCCCTGGTCTAGTTCGGTCATTCCTTAAATTAATCTTACGACACATTGAAAAAATAATAATTATATTACGACACATTGAATTTATATATATATATATATATACTTTTATTTTTCTGTTTTGTCTACACTAGTCTGAACGAGTTATTTACAGTGGAGTCAGTCACTCAACCATGTTTGAACTTTGTAGAGTTTCACCTCGTCACACGTTAACATACAGTATGTACACCAGAGATGCCTCGTCTCTTAGTGTTGGCGCCACCTTTCGTCACAGTCGTGTTCTTTCACCCGTGATTCCACAATCACGCCCCTTTCACTCATGTGCGATTTATCGAAGCTCTCTCCTCACTTCACTCACCCACAACTTCACTCTCTCCTCACTTCACTCACCCACAACTCCACTCTCTCCTCATGTCACTCACCCAGTTTGTCGAGTCTCCTAATCCTGTTTGAACTGTTAGATCCTTGTCCACACAGACCGGACTCCATCTGAATTTTCTAATACGTTTCACTGTTTATACAGATAAGCTCAAAGGGGAAAAAAAATTATTTGTATATTATATATATATACACACACACACACACAGACATATATATATACACACACATATATATAAATACAATTACAAATCATCACATTTAATACTATTTTCATACATGGGAATGCCCGGTATACTGTTAACTTTAGGGACCTTTTAAGTATATACAATAAAGACCTTACAGCAAGAAGAAAAAAAACCTCAGTGGACAGTGATTATTATAAATATGATTATCATATTATTACAGGCATAAGAATGTTTAAAAGATGTCTGCAACACACACAAAAGACTGACTGAGACACGACAAAAAGAGGAAACAAAAACAATGTGAGCATCGTCATTTCAAACAGACAGAGTCGGACTGAGAAGATGATAATCTTGCAGAAAGCGCTACTCTACCAACGAGGAACCGCAGATGCTGCACAGACCAGAACAGATCAGAACTCTGATGTATCAGAGTTTTAGCTGGGTCAGCTTTTCTCCGACTCCGTCTCTAGAAGAGGGAGTTATGTTCTAACCTCTTCCGAACTTCTGGCGCTCTAGAACCAGCGCCCAGTCAGTGCAGCAGCCAATGGCTGAGCTGTTACCGACATGAGGTATGTGCATGCATCAGAAATGTAGCCAATCAGCGTGGTTAAATCTGATTATTTAAGGGCGATTTAATTGTGGCTGCAGCCAAGTCTCTCAGGTGACAGAGTGGACCTCCGCCACCAGAGGTCACTGGTGTAACAGTCAACAGCCCCGGTGTGTAAAAAATGTGTAAATCTGACTTAGTAATTCGTTTACATGTTTAGTTTCAAATGTAAAACTTGTGTTTGTGCACTCCCATTGACTTTTCTGTGAAAGTAGTTTAAAACTTTAATCTTATCTTCAGTAGATGCATGCACACACACACACGTAAGGCAGCGAGAAGAAGAACAAATATGAATCAATATTGACGACGAGGCTCAGGCTGTAATCTGATAATTTGAAATCAAAAAGCTTCCGTTAGATCTTGAACTGGAACGTGTTGTGTCAACCGTGAGGTCACATGGTCTGACTCTCCTCTCTCTGCTGCAACTTGCCTTTTCCCGATATCCTAAACGAGGACACGCGCTTGCGGAAACTCTCCCCGGAGAAAAAGTAGAGCAGAGGGTCGAAGCAGGTGTTAGCGGCCGCCAGGCTGAGCGTCACCACCACGGACTTCTGCATGCCTCTCTGATACGAACAGGTGTCGTACGGGGTTATGAGGTACAGGTGAACGGTGCGTTGTATGTGGTACGGCATGAAGCAGATCAGAAAAGTAAGCAGGACGATGACAATCATTCTGATGGCCTTGGAGCCTGTCTCACTTTGACGACGTGCAACATTGTTGCGAGACACGAGGACGCGGACGATGCCCACGTAGCAGATCAGGATCACCAGGAAAGGCACGACGAAACCGACTACCAGAGCAAAATAGTTCATTTTTTTTAGTTTCTGCAGTTGTTGTGTACTACTTGGAGGCTCAAAGCATTTGGTTTTATTAGTGACCGGGTCGAATTTCTCTCCAGACATGAGAAAGGGGGTGCTGGACACGGAGATAAACAACCAAATGCTGACACACACCAGGCGAGCGCGTTTCACCGTCACAAGACGCATGTTCTGCACGGGGAAGACGATGGCCATGAAGCGGGTGACGGACATGGCGGCCATTATGTAAATACTGCAGTAGAGGTTTACGTAGAGAGTGTAGGAGCTGATGCGACACAGGAAGTCCCCAAGGTCCCACTGACCCTTTTTAACATAGTAGAGAACCCTCATAGGCAGCGTCAGAACAAAGAGCAGGTCCGACATGGCCAGGTTCATCATGTAGATGTGAAACGGAGAGTTCTGGCTTCTCGTTTTTATCAGGACCACCAGGGCCAACCCGTTCCCCACCAGGCCGACCACTGTGATGATGGAGTAGGTTGTGGTGTAAACCCGGTTACGGAAGTCATCTATGGTGGAGCAATTACTGTTGTTCCCTACCATGACGTCTGTCAGATTTAGTTGCTCCATCAGGGTGTGTGTGCCAGCAGGCCGCGAAGTTCTGAGGTCTTTGGATCGAACTGAGGAATTGAAAATCATTTCACATATTTTTACAGGATCAATTACAGTTACTTCCATCTTTTATTTTTCTCTTTAACTCCCTTGTTTTGGTAAAAATCCATTACGATCATTTCAGCTCTTAAAAGGAAGGAAGTAGTGCTTTGTTTGAAATATTTACATATACTATATACATTACAGAATCATGTATAATTCCACACAAAAAAAGCAGTTCACTGTTGTAATACCTGTTACAACACAGGAAAGACCTTTGATTCGACTTTGTATGAAACAACGACATTTCACATCTAATCTTCATCATAAAAATTATATAAAAAAATGTCTGTTCTGTTATCAGAATAAAAAACATCTGATAGGTCGGACCTTAAAGGGTCCGACCTATCAGATCTACAGGCTCTATTGACTTGGTTGAATCATAAATATTAAATATCATCAACCAGGGAGCCAACGCACAGGACGGCTGGAGAACCACATGCGGCTCAGGAGCCACGGGTTTGCAAACCTCTGCATTAAACAATTAATAAACACTTAACCTATGATGACAACCAATCAGGTTGAGTTAATATATATATATATATATAATATATATATTTCAAAAGTCTATAATCTCATTCGATGTTAATTTCATAATGCGATCATTTTTAGTGTTAAATTAAATTGTTAACTTATTATTTCTCTTGTTGGTGTGAACTCACGTGAATTGTTTGCCTTCACTCTGTTTACGCTGCTCAAACACCGACACTACCATGCGCTGTACTGCCAACAACAGTAAGTACATGAAGCATCTCCATTATTTGAACCCGAAGTGAAGGTCACACAGAATAAAGCAGACTAAAGCTCGTCTTACCACCGCGTGGTGAACTCCTGGGACGGTCAGCGGGCCGGCNTGCCTCCGTTTTATCTGAGTGATGCTGCGGCAGCAGTGGGAGGACGGTGCAGCAGGTGTCAGACTCAGCTCTGTGGAAGCATTGAAGTGAAGTGAAGTGAAGGAGGGACTTGACAAGTGCAGATCAGCGTCACACATCAGTCAACGTGAGGTCACACAACTCTCAGATTCTCTCTCAGACTGAGAGGCACAGAAGTCACTGTACTTTACTTTACTACTTTTACCACATTTTATTATCTGTAAAATGCTGTTACTTTTCAGAAACAAGTGAGGTTTTATGTATAATCTGTTTTTGCAAAAGTTATCAACATATTTAACCATTTTTTTGTTTTTTAATTTTGCAATAATTTGACTGTTACTTCTTTTTTTTAGAATTATATTTTTTCAGAAACAAGTGAAGTTTTATGTATAATCTGTTTTTGCAAAAGTTATCAACATATTTAACCATTTTTTTGTTTTTTAATTTTGCAATAATTTGCAACATGCAATCTTTAAAGATTAAAGATTCAATTCAACATGATACACTCATTTTACCTCCATAAAAAACGTATGTGACCCCAGGGGGTGGGGGTGGAGGGAGGGTGTTTGTGCCGTGCAAATATTACTGCTCGAGTGAAATGGGTTTTTCTTTTAATGTAATGAGATTAATTGCCATTTCATTGCTTTCCTAAAACTGCCCTTTGGATATATATATATCTATATATATCTATATATATATCTATATATATATCTATATATATATATATATACACATATATATATATATATATACATACATATATATAAATATATATTTAAAAATAATAATTTTTATGTCTCCATGGATCTTTTTATCCATACATACTGCAATACTGGCTTCTACCGACATATTATTAGTAGAATATTGTCTTCTCCAATAACGGAGATGCTCCTGATGAAGACATAATGTTGAGTAATTTAATGCTGATAAGATGACAATAAAGGTCTTGGGTTTTTTTTTTCTATTCTGTTCTATTTAGCGTGGACAATTCAACTACAGCCTGATGTTTTTGAACTGAGAATGGAACCTGGATCCCTGCAATCTCAACACGGAAAATCCACCAGTTTCCGCCATTGACCTCTTTGCTGTTAAGCAAGAGCACTGACCACTAATCCACTGCGCACTGGTTGTTGTTTTTTTAACTCATACTAAAGCTGTCTGGGTCAATTATCCAATCACTGCCCAGTGTCCACATTAAAAACATCCACCTATAATTAACCATAGAAACCAATTAAAGCTGAGCTTCAATAGGGGTTTAATACACCTTTAGTTCATCACAACGTCCGTCTTAGAAAAAAAAAGGTTTCAATTCAATGGTGAGTGGACCCAAAGATTTACAGGCAACAACCGAAGACTTCGACAATTACCATGACATGGGCCTGCATTTCTGCAGAAACAGTTGTTCAACCACAAGAGGTTTGTTCTCGTTACACGTTAAAAAAAAAAAATCAAGTAAATGAATACTGCTAGCCTCATCTCCCCCCGTCCTCACCCCCCCGGGCTGTATGAAGAACACATGAAAGGTCAGTTGAACAGGAGCAGGAGTGTAACCTGAGATCAGATGATGTGAGTTAATAAAAGTGCATATAATCTACATGAATGAACCAACAAAATCTCTCCTGAGGTACGAGTTCACATCATTTCCTTCGCATGTCGCTAATTTGGGCGGATCATCTTTGGTAAATGGAGTGCAGATACTCCCGGGGAAATTGGGAAACTGGTTTTCACAGTTAAAACCCCAGTGTGGCGGGAGGGCAGGGTAATTCCTCTGTAACTCAATTAGTGCACTCAGAGTGCGGTGCTGAGCTCGAAGGCCACAGACACATGTCCAAACAATTAGCTGATGAGTGCACTTAGTGCACATAAAAGAACGATTAAAAGAGCGCAGAGCTCCCGTAATTGTTACAGGGAGAAAAGGCATTAATAGATTCTGAGTAAATCCACTGTAAACTCCCTGAAGACCGAGGTGGAAGGACTTTTGTTTCAAAACATACGAGAACTGGCGTTTCCTCTGCAGCACATAAAGGTTTACTATTGGCTGTATGTTGAAGGTGAGGTCACACACCGCAACTGAGGTGTAGTGGAAGGTTGATTTGCGTTTGTCAATTGTCAAAATAGTCCTTGTAATCTCCAACCGAAATCAAACCAGGAAAAGATTTATAATAATATATAATTTATATTTAAAAATATTGAAAATATATCTGAGGCCAACTTTTCCTCCTATATTTAAAAAACACTAAATATTGTTTCAAATGAAACAAATGTACATTTCTGACTGAAGAACCGGTCAGATGAGGACTTTTTGACTACTGTAAATATACCTAATGAGGGAAAAGTTGTTGCAATGTGTAATGGTTAGCATGGCTGCCTTACAGGCAAAGACCATCGACCTTGGGTTCGATTCCCAAAGGAACCACCCATTCCTAATGGTGCCTCCCATGGGGTAAATAATGGACTTCACTGTTATTATTATTATTATTATTATTATTATTATCATGTTTCCGACCTGTTGAGTGATTATGTTCGACCCCGCCCCCCTGTCTACAGTAAATGATAAGTCAGTCGTCAACAAGATTTATTACAGTAATCATCTACCACCGCTGTAGACACACCAGCAAACAAGAACTGTCGATTTGTGCGTCAGCTGAACAGAGACATAAATCATGCATTTAAATCAACACAAGGTGTAGTTTTTCTTTAATTTAATACTTCCTGCTGGTGCTACGGTAGACGCCGCCGTGTCGCTACATGAGCGATCGGTGACTCAATGTTAGTCAGCGTAACAAACAACTCGGCTCATTGCGTGTCCTGAACTGGCGAGCTCACGGTTGTGGGTTTAAGTGCTTGTGAGCCGTGTTGGCAGCGTGGCATTAACTCCTCCGCTCACAGCTCCTTTTTTGGAGCTTTTGTTCCCAAGGAAAAAAAAAACACTTGTGTTTAAACAGATGTCAGAGAAAGGCCTCGGGCACCGATTCTGTCTGACTCAGAGGCAGTGTGTATCATCTCCAAGGAAGGCATGATGACATTGGAAGACTGAGCCAGTCGAGACAAAGCAAACTCTAACAGGGACGAGGGAGTGAGGAAAAGTCCTCACCCACTTTCAACTTCAGTCCCAGGGCAGCCGCGTCGGAAGAGACGCTTAGATAATGGAGTAAAACCCAAGGCCATGACCCGACCATGACTTTGACTCTCAGATTATGGCAGAAAAACAGGTGAGTCCATTGTGTCACACATTGACACAAAAGAATTTGTTCTGCCAACGTTTTTGTTTTATGACTGATGATTTTTTTTTACGTTTGGATTGTTATGTAGTTTGTAACTTACACAGAGGAGAAAAAAAATAGTTGTAGTTGGTTCAAGTTTCAAGTTATTTTCTCAATGTATTGGTTTACAAAACATTACAGTAGAGTAACGTGATAAAAAAGATATGGAAATGAAATATAATCACCAAAGTCAAAGCCAAGGAAAGGACTAGAAACTTCCAGTACTTATGTCCAGCTACTTAACACCATTTCAGTGTTGACCAATCTTTGAGCCACAGCACATATATATATATACATATATATCATGTAATGAAATAATCTTCTAGTCTAAATGACCTCATAATTGACTAAAATCCCCGGCCTGTTTAGTTGAAGACATCGCTGATAAACTGGCAGGAACTGAAAAAAAGACACTCACAAAAATCTTCAACAGCTCTGATTATCTTTTTTTTTTGTTTAGTTTTCATAGCCATCTGCTGCCACCTAGCTGAAGAGTATTTAATTGTTCAGCCTTTCATGCTTTGACGAGCAAAGAAAAATGATATACAATAAATAAATAATAGCCCAATTACTTGGTTGGTTTTTACTGGTATGGTAATGAGCTTTAGGTTGTGAACAAAAGAACAAAATACAAGCAGTCAAAGTTGAGGGGCTATCATGGATATGTTCTTGGGGTGCCTCTGGGGGGAGACCCTTGGGGGAGACGTCAGACAGACTGGTGGTACTCTGTCTCTCATGTTTTCTTCCAGAAGAGCAGGACAGCCCCAAAGATCAGGGGCTGAAAATGTACGAACTAGAGAAAAGGACGGGATGGTTCTGAGCTGGTTCTTTCCATAGTACCTGAAGTATTTTATTTGATGGTTTCTTTGCTTGTCTGGGCTTCTTCTCATTGAAATAACTGAGAAAGAAAGTTGTAAAAGTCGAAAGCTATAAAAAGAATGATGTGTTTACGGCTCTGACTGGGTGGAGTCCAGGGTGTGGGTGCTGCTCTCCCGACTTCTCTAACTCCCATGTTTCTTCTTCACTCCCTGCAGATCATACCAACAGTCATTCAGGGAGATCAGCTCCTGGTTCTGGCGTGGCTCGGTCACGGTTGAAGCAAAGTCACTGTCCAGGGAATGGCTGCGCAGATTCATACTGTTGAAGGTGACGATGGTGCTGCTGTTCCCCAATAGATCAAGTCTCCCCCTTCTGGTAGGCTGTGGGTTCAGCCTGAGGGCCCTGTTGTTGCTGCGCTCTCCTCACATCTCCACCAAGCCGTCCACTGTGTTCCTGGTGCAGTTGGCATCGTCTGACTGTCTGATCTTACTACAGTGGACGCTGTGGCTCAGTGTCAAACTGTCCTGGTGGACAGAGAAGCCGGGCCGTGGAGAAACCGTGAGCGACCTCTGCCTGCAGCTGTTGGACGCTCACCACCTGGCCTCTCTGCTCCTGCTGGGCCTGCTGGGCCTGGAGGCCACGCTGGTGTCACGGTGGCCTCAGCAGACCGTGCGCTTCAGGACCTCTCACTGGGCCCACCTCAGCTGCGCCCTGGTCTGGATGTTTGTGCTGCTGGAGTTCACGTTGTCACTGCATCTGCAGACTCTACGGAAGACAAATCCTGACAACTACTGGTCACAACTCCAGGACTCCAAACTGTCCTTTGTGGGACTGGTGCCCCCTTCGTTCTTGTTGTCCACCTTCTCCCCATGTCTGAGGAAGCTTTTGTGGTTGATGAACCTCTGGTTGCATTATGCACTGTTTTTCAGTAAACCACCACGTAGAAGGAGTTCCTTTCATTAAAGCCTTTTAAACTGGTTTTCATTCGCTCTTTATTTATTATTTATAATAAACAAATGTTCAACAGAAATCGAGTTATTTGGCCGCAAGTGCCTGTGCTTTTTCTGTGGAAACTAAGATAAACTGTTGCCTACTGAGTTAACCATGTTAAGTAATTTATGTAATTAATTAGATTAGTACTTTTTATACTATTTTGTCACAAATAAAAAAGTGTGAAACACATACATCTACCTGCTGTTGTTTTCTGTTCCAGCAATATACAAAAAAAATTTTTTTTTTTGGAATGTTGATTTCAGACAATGAATTGTGATTAATCCATAGCTACTGTGGGATTATTAAAATTATACATTTGACCTTAATGTAAATGTCATGTTCAGTAGATGCGTGAAACAGATTATTTAAAATTGACATTTACCAAATTTGGCGGATGCAGAATAAGCAGAAACTAAGACCCAAATTACGTGTCTGCAGGTTTCACACAGGCCTCCTACACATACGTGTATGTGGGTTACAGGAAGCTACCACACTACCACACGTGGACCATTAGGTCACATGGGCTCCTCATGTTTATTTCAGACCATGTTTTACAGAAATCTCTTGTGCAGATACCATCTTTGGTAACTACCATGACGCAGAGTACTGTTAATACTGAGAAATATTTACGTATTGAGGGGGGGGGAAAAAACGTTACTACAGTCACTGACAAAAATGAATAAAAAAGACAAAACAAAAATGTGTGGGATTATGGTCACTGTTGTACCGAAATGTCTGTTTTCATTTTCCACCACCAAGCCATTTTTAGGGTCTGGGTGGAGGGTGGGTCTGTGGTGGAGTGCAGGGTGGCAAACGCCACACAATAATTGGGTTGCATCTCTTTTTAACTGACTACATCCACGACATCGAATACAAAAAAATCGAGCAGAGGGAAATTATGAGAGACGCACGCAGCTAACAGTTAACATCCTGTTGAAAAACAAAAAACCTCAGACACGGCAGAGCAACAATATCATCACACACACCCACACACACACACCGTTTGTTTTGACAGTGTCTGTCCCTCGGTGTCAGAGACAGTTCTGTTTACGAAGACAGTTCTGTTTACGAAGACAGTTCTGTTTACGAAGACATTTCTTTTGCTTTTGTCTGCACTTCCATCTCAATGTTTAAATTTCTTTTACCTTTGAGTCATTTTTACCATTCTATATTTTATTGTTGGTATTTTTTCCTTGGACCACAAAAAATTATGTTCTGAACTGCGCTCTATTTTATTCTGTTTTATTCTATTCTATTTGTTGCTCACAGTTGAATTAATATTGCACCGAAAAGTGAAAAGTTCTGGTAGGAAACAGCCCCACCCAGTGTCCACACCACGTATTGAAAACAGACATGGTCACCACAATCAGAACTAAATATAATGTATAGTTAAAATAGTTGCCATGAAAATGCGTTTTAAAAGCTGGGCATTTAAAGATAAATAAAAGCACGAGTATTTTAAAAAAAACACCTTAGGATGATTGGATAGAAAATCGTTTGTAGACTCATTAATTATTTTGTTAAATTTTGTTAACTTATTTACTTTGCTATAAGCAAAGTAAATAACTAAACAAACGTTGGAAGATTTGAAAATATACATTTAAAATTAATTGCTCTCTACACGGTTTATTTGATGCTTTTTTTTTCTAATTGAGGAAAAGGTGTTACATTATCTTCCAGCAGAGGGCGGAGCTGAGCGTCTATAAAACACAGTAACAGATATTAGCAAATCTGTGAATTTCTATAATAATTGTTAATTTGTTAGATTCAATTAAAGAAAGTTATATAAAAAAGTAATGTTTACGTCAAGTCTGGTGTCTTCAGTCTCTTCCTGAGGCGTAGGATTTATTCACTAATAATATTATCAGGTATCGGTATTGAAACGGAAACTGATCTCTATTTGTTCCCCTGTGGCAGCTGTCACACTGTTCCAACCCAGAACCAAAAACACTTTAAAAGGAAACAAAATAATTGCTCCAGTCTAATCCACTGGTTCTTTTCTCTGTTCCACAGCAGAAGGCCAGATTAGAAGTGAAGTTTGTGGAATCCTTCCCCAGAGCTGTGCCAACAAGTCCTCCATGAGGACCATGTTTGGAAATGAACCAATTTAAAACCATTAACACGACCTTTCACACTGTGCGCTCTGATGCAAAGTGTATGAGCTCATTATTGTCTGGATCCAAAGACCGACCGTCACCACGGTCCAGGGTCGGCGCTCGCTCATGGCTGCTCATGCTGCACCTATAAGTACCACTGTGTAAACAGTCACTTCATGATCTGAGGCTGCCGATCTTCTGCAGTTCCCTCTGTGGCCTCATCACTGACAGCAGCAGCGATGAGCCGCAGAGGCACCTGTTCAGCTCGATAGAGTGCTACAAAAGTAAATTGATCTTATTCTCATAACAAGTAGTTATGAAATAATTTCCCAAAACACTTCACTAAACTTCCAAAATAAAGTTCTTGGTGACTGGAATGGGAACCTGAAAATTGTTCCTTAGAACCCACTTTCTGCTCACTAAACTTCCAAAATAAAGTTCTTGGTGACTGGAATGGGAAATTGTTCCTTAGAACCGAGTGACTTGGAATAAAAATAAAAACATTCCATGATCTCTCTCTTTTTTTATCCTGAAATAAAATAAAATCCAAGAGTTTCTCAACATGGGCTTTTACCAAATCATCTCTGCTTTGTCACTAGTTCTGTATAACAAAAGAAACCAGCTTTTTATGATTCATGTCTTTTTTCCTGTCTTTTCTCAGACAAAACATTTTTACCAAATCATCTCTGCTTTGTCACCTGACAGATGATTCTTCTTCTCATCGAACCACATGACGGGTCAATCTAAACAAGCGCCTGTTGAAACAACGCCACTACGTTTGACTGGACGATGGTGTTTTGTTGATGTTGATGAGGTTTGTGTGAACAACTTCAGAGTCAACAAAACCGTCACATATATTACAAAAACCAGCTCGGAGTTCAGCTGCAAAACTGGCAAGACCTGAGCTGACCAGCCCCTCAGCAGTCAGACCAAAAAAAAAAAAAAACAATTCTGTTTACCGGCTGGTTGACTGTTGTATCTCCAATTATAAAGTCTGTAAAGCTGAAGCGTCCTGTGTTGTCGTGGCTTTCTGCTTTTGTCCAGACCTGTTGTCAGGGCAGAGGTATGTGTGGCACGGCGGGGCAACTCCTGAACCCTCCTGGAGCCAAAGAGAGAGAGAGGATGGGTAGACGTAGAGGAGAACGCAGAGGAAATACACTCATCTTTACGTTCAGGCCGAGGAGGAGAGGAGGGAGAGAGGAGAGGAAAGGAAAGGAGAGGAGAGGGAATGAAAGGCAAAGGGAGGAATGAGGGGGCAGTAATGGGGTCTTTGTTCTGGTTTGTGGGTCTCACAAAGACTCGGTCAGGGCTGTGCAGCTTAGTTACCAAACTCACTGAATAAGTTGGTGTGTGTGTGTGTGTGTTGTGAACTAGTTGGAGTCAGATTCGAGATGAGGACACTCAGTCAGGACATTTCTGCAGGTCCTCACTGACACTAGGGGGCTCTGAGAGTTATAGGTAGTTAAAGGTAACACATTTCAATTCCAATATTAGAATTTCTATATTTCTTTTCTTTTGTTTCAATCAGAATTTAGTGAGTATTTAGTGTTTAAATATGAGTTTCATTACACTAACACTGGTGTCAGGGACAACCTTTGTGTGTACAGGGTGAGGAGAATTTGTCAACAAAAGGTTGTGAGTTCAAATTTAGATGAGCAACAACAACAAAAAAAACAACTTTCACCTTAGGCAACAACAAATGTCATGTCTCTGTTCCTGAGCCATGACAGCGTTAGCTTAAGAAAAAAGTGAAGAAAGAAAGAAAAATAATAAAAACTAAAATTTACATTAACACAACGACATATGTGTATTTTTGGTATTTTTGGGAACTTCTTAGAAAAACATCAGCTTTAAGAACACATAAAGAAAAGCACTTAAATGGTGTTGTGAAATGCCATTAGGGAAACATGCTTTTATCACAGAGCGTGACTATTATTTATACTCCAGGTCAACACTAACAATTGTGAGGCTGAAGACATCTGTGTGTGTGTGTGTGTGTGTGTCTGGGTTGAGCTTATGCAGTAAGCAGGATGTCCTGTCCTCCCCGCTGCTATTGTGGAATGGTTAGCCTGCCAGACACTACCCCCAGAGAACACTTCCCTTCTTTCAAGTTCCACTGTCACTGTTCTTCACACACACACACACACACACACTGACAAACACACACACAGCTCAATGCCAGCCTGAACACAATGGAGACCTGTCCAGCACCGCCCTGTCACCTTGCTAAATTTAGCTCTTTTGGGCATCGCCTTAAAGACGAAGGTCAGGTCACAACAACAATGCTATCAAGTGAAATTAAACTTTTTTTTTTTTTTTTTTTTTTTTTTTAACTTGGCCACCACACCTGTGGCAGATACACTGAAGTTGTTACCCCCTCGATGAACTATAATTACAGTTTATTTTTATATGAGCCTTTCTTTTGCACTGCTGGTCTTATTTTAAGCCCTTGTTAGAGTCCGGCTACTGGGTCAGAAGCCAGTCTCTTGTTGGACACGTACCAGTTTCACAATAGTTGTTTTTTTCCTTTTAACTGTACACAAGGCTATTTTAGATATGTTTTAATTATAATTTTATTATTAGACAATTTTTTGTCACTGTTCCGTTTATAGTTATACTTGGTTTTATAGTTATACTTGGATAAACTGACTCAAGGATGCTAATCTTAAACATTTGTTTTAACTCTGAAAGTGGTGAACACAGCACAAAAACAACAAAGATACCAATGCTAGCCATTTATCTTTATTTATTTTTTTAACTAAGCCAACCCTAAACGTAACCAAATAGGGAAAAAAAACGATTAATTCTGCTAAATATTTGCTACGAAGTAGCTTTGCGTTAGCATTCATTTAGCTAAACTGCTCAACGTTATCTGTTGTGGATGAAAGCTTGGGGGGGAAAGACAACAAACCTAGCTAAAATTAAATGTAAATGTTTAATGACATTTATTAAATGTTGAAAGAAAGTATAAGAAGAAAGATTAAAGTATAAGAAGTATAAGAAGAAGAAGAAAAGCATCCGAACATATTTAAGCGTTTGCGAACCAAATGTCATTCCGTTATTTCCTCATTTAGCAGTACTTTCAAAATAAAAGACACAATCTTGAATTCGTTATTAAATACTTCGGATAACTACGTAACGGATCGCAGTGAATCATTTTGAGTCGCGATCCAACAAACACCTTTGTTTAAAGCATCGTCGATACGGATTTATTTGTTGGTAGGAAAATTCGTTTATTTTTTTAATTGTACTGAATTAAGTGTGAGCTGACCGGCTACTGACACCACTGCGTCCCCCCCTATCCTTCCTCCACAAACTTCCATCCACCTCCTCCCCCTCCTCCTCCACCACTCCCTCGCCCCCGCAGCCCAGCCGTGGGGCTATTGTCCCCGTTTCCTGTGCAGCTCTCCGCACTTAAACACGAACACTCGAGGAGAGCAACAGGCGCAAGTGGATGTGATGCAGACGGAGTCCACACGGGATTAGCTGTCGCTTATAAAAAACAAAACAAAACAAAACTGCTGGACGGTTGTTTTTCTACTTTACTTTCGGGAGTAAACGGCAGAAGACACTTGGATTAAAAAAAGTGTTTCTTTCTTCCACTTGTGACAGACACCACCACCAACAACAACAACAACAACAACAACAACAACAACAACACCAACACCGCTGCTGCTGCAGAAACATCAGTGACCAGGAGGTGGACTGTCAACATCCACTCAGCTGCAGGTGAGTTTCATTCCACGAGTCAATTTAATATTACGTATTTTTAAAATGTCAATTACACAATGTACACCTGACGTCACAGATTACTGCGTAATTACTGTAACGGCGTAATCAGCCAATCAGTAAATCATTAAAAATCACACAAACTAAAGATTTACATCTTCTCCCAATTTTTACCCCCTTGCTGGGAAATCCTGGGTCTGTTTAGTTGAACGTCACACTGCTTTACTCTCAGGAATGAAAGAAAAACATAAAGTTCTACTCCAAAAGATCTACGTGTATCTCTTTTATTTAATTTCCATAATCATCTGCTGCTGAAGAGTATCTAATTATTCTGCCTGTAACTGTGGCACGAAATGAGCAAAGACATATTGTTTGTAGTAAATACATTTAGACCAATTAAGTAAAACCGCATTATTATCTTCAGCACTTCCTGATGACTCTGTTATGATCGTAATCACTTCCTTGTAAACAGTGATGGTTCCTGTTTAAACTCCAATACATGAGAAAAAACTATTTTGGTGACTGTTAGGAGTAACTGATGTCAATAAAAAAAAAGATCTACGTGTATCTCTTTTATTTAATTTCCATAATCATCTGCTGCTGAAGAGTATCTAATTATTCTGCCTGTAACTGTGGCACGAAATGAGCAAAGACATATTGTTTGTAGTAAATACATTTAGACCAATTAAGTAAAACCGCATTATTATCTTCAGCACTTCCTGATGACTCTGTTATGATCGTAATCACTTCCTTGTAAACAGTGATGGTTCCTGTTTAAACTCCAATACATGAGAAAAAACTATTTTGGTGACTGTTAGGAGTAACTGATGTCAATAAAAAAAAGAAGCAATATCATAATGTCACCCCAGCCCCCACACCGCCACCCACTTCCCACCCTCCCTCTGCCCTCTTTTCCTCGAACATATGAAAGAAGGGAACAGCTGGATGTGACTTGAGCCTGAACTTGATCTGCTCAGATCAGCAGGTCTAAGGGGTCCTGGTCCTGTCGCTGCTGCCACGGTGGGCTGCAGGGGTAAACGCTAAGACTGTGCAGCTGTCCACAACCTGGACGTGAAGTGAACATACATTTCACAGGGTGGAACTTTTCAGAAGAACCTATAGTAATCCACCACTTGTTTGAATATGTCTGTGCACGAGTCGGCAGTTTCCTATAGTTCATGGGTTCTGAAAGGCTGAAAAGAGAACCGACATCGACAGGACGTCTAGACCTGGAGCCGCAGAACACAGAACATGTATTTGTATGTTTTTGTGAAAAAGAAATAGAGAGAGTTGGTAAATGCTAGTATTTTTTTTTTAACTAAGCCAACCCTAAATCAATTGGTAAAAATGGTAAATAGTTAAACAGTTGCTAAGAATTAGCTCTGGGTTAGCCTAACTGCTCAAAGTTATCTGTGAAGCTAGGAAAAAAAAACAACAACAACAAACCTAGCTCAAATTTAATTTTGCTTTGTATATAGCAGCACTTTCAGAATAACATAATTTTAAATCTGTAATTAAATACTTCGTATAACAATGTAATCGATCGCAGCAAATCATGTTCACGATGTCGCGATCCAACAAACACCTTTGTTTAAAGCATCGTCGGCACAAGTAAAGTTACTGAGAGAGTTTAATAAAAACCGGAGTTGAGTTGGAGTTGGCAAATGCTAGTATTTGCCTGCTTGTGTGTGTGTGTACCCGTTTCCAAGTGTGTGTGTTTGGGGCAGTCGGGTACAGTGGGGGCATTGTGAAGGTCCGGTTAAAGCTTTTTGGGTAGGCGTGTGAAAAAGCAGTAAAGATGTCACACTGCAGCTGGCACTGGACAGAGCTGATGGACTGCTCACACTCACAGCAGCCTTTGTGCCTGCCCTGTGTGTGTGTGTGTGAGAAAGAGAGAGAGAGAGAGAGAGAAAAGCCAAATTGCGTCCTCATCCCTCTGTAACACAAGGTAAACTACAGTACAGCCATAGAGATAACGTAGTATTTACTGTCTAATTATTAGAAAGATAAATCAAGGATTATTTTAGGAAAAATAATTTAATCACTACCGGTATCAGGCCAATACTTCAAATACTCATAGTCGTAAACTTGTGCTGTTTCTTAGCTGTTTTTTTTACTACAATCCACTGTTTCGGTGTCAGTTACAGCAGGTATCAGTAAAGCACTTGGTATCTGTGAGTAGTGAATGAAAATACGCATGCTTGTCTCCTGAAAAAAAAAAACCAAAACAAAAAAAACCCCAAAAACTAGTATCACCTAGATTCTTGTCAATCTTTTCAGTAAATCTCCTCTGACAGGTTTATTATCGATTAACAGTAGAAAACTGCGTATTCAGACAACTATGATGGCATCTCTTGAGTTTGTCTTTGTAGTATTTTGGATCACAGACAACATCATATGGTCTTCACATGTAGGCAAGATCTCCTTGTGACTTAGAAAGTGTAATTAAAGTGTAACATTGGTGGAGTTCCCCAGAAAGCAGTAAGACAGACGGGATGATAAAAGAGATTTTTTTTTTACTTCCACACATTTACAGCCACACATATCAAGAGGTAATAAAATATCACCATAAACTACACTTTGTAAAAATGATAAAAACTAAGCAATTGTGGCTTTTATTTTGTTACGTGTATTACTTTTCACATTGTGCTAAATTTGTATTTGATTAAAAAGATAAAAATCTAAGAGCACGACAGGCTTTTAACCTTCACATGGCATCAAAGCATCAGGTGAACGAGAAAACGATCTGTCAGCGCAGGCAGCGATGAGTTTGACTTTTCCAGAAAGAAAAAACCTGCTGTGTGGAGATTAGTCTAATGTTGTGGTTTTGTTTTCTAACATTAGTAGTGAATTAGGCCTCAAGTATATTTGATCTCCCTGTCACTGATGCATTAATGTCTTTGGCAGCGCTTCACACGGTCCTGCTGACAGCCGGCGTGCTGCATGTGAAACTACCGCAGTAACTGAGATCAGCTGACGAGATCAAAGGGTTAACGCCGACAGATAAGACAAGAACACGTACATAAATGTTTCTACAGAACAAATATGTTGCTGCAAAGACTTGCCACAGACAAAGACTTCCTTTAATCAAAAGACAAAAATCCCTGTCAGAGTCTTCAGCCATGGTTCTCTGTAACAGTTTTTATCTTGACAGGTTTATAAGTCAGCAACTGGATATGGTTTTTATGAAATATATCATTCATTTCTTCTCTATATTTGGTATTCCAATCTGTTCTTCCGTCGGCCCTTCCATAAACAAACTTGTCATTGAAGGGTTGGAGTCCAAACATGAGGGTTTGGAGTCGTTTGCTCCGTGGTCTTTTATTGTGAGGAAGTGACAACGTCCTTTTTCCTTTTCTCTCCACAGGAGGATTGAGCAGCGCTGAAGTTGTGCATCCTGACTGGTCTCTGTCAACACACATGTCCACAATGACACAAGAAAGGCCTGACCGGTGGACTCCCTGCTGACACACGGAAGCTTCAGATATCCGCCGCGATTGAACACTTTCCTCGAGGCTTCCCTCGTTCCGTGGAGCTTTCAACCCCGTTTGGCTGTCGCCATGGCTAGTCTGGCAATTAACGAGACTGGAATGGAGGATTGCGGGATTGACGACTCCTTTAAGTACAACTTGTACTCCGTAGTCTACAGTGTGGTCTTTGTCCTTGGGCTGATCACCAACTGTGCGGCACTCTTTGTATTCTGTTTTCGCATGAAGATGCGCAACGAGACCACCATGTTCATGACTAACTTAGCCTTATCCGACCTGGTCTTTGTTTTCACGCTGCCGTTCAAGGTCTTCTACAATGTTAACCGCCACTGGCCGTTTGGAGACGGACTATGTAAAGTATCAGGGACAGCCTTCATCACCAACATCTACGGCAGCATGCTCTTCCTAACGTGCATCAGCGTGGACCGTTTTTTAGCTATCGTGTACCCCTTTCGCTCACGCTCCATACGCACTCGTAGGAATGCTGCGCTGGTGTGTGCTGCCGTTTGGCTGACCATTGTAGGAGGAGGAATATCAGTGACTTTCTTTTCCACCATCAACAGCACAAACACAGCAACCACTTGTTTCGAGGGCTTCTCCAAAAGTACCTGGAGGAACTACCTCTCCAAAATAACCATTTTTATCGAGGTGAGTGAACACCAGTACATTCAAACTACATCATGAGAGTACTGTTTTCTCACCCTTTATATGATATTGTTTCTTTTTTTAGATCGTGGGCTTCCTGCTGCCACTGCTAGCCAACTTGGTGTGTTCCTCACTTGTTCTGAGGACACTGCGCCGCCCTGCAACGGTCGGTCACGGCTGCAACAGCAAGAGACGCGTGTTGCGAATGATTCTTGTCCATCTGGCCATTTTCATCATCTGCTTTGTTCCCTATAACTCCATCCTCTTCCTATACGCCCTGGTGCGGACGCAGGCCTTGGCTAACTGCGCTATAGAACGCTTTGCCCGAACTCTTTATCCGATCACGCTGTGCTTGGCCAGCCTCAACTGCTGCCTGGACCCTGTGGTCTACTACTTCACCTCAGAGAGCTTTCAGAAAAGCTTGACCATGGGAGGAAAAGGCTCCCGACCTGAGAGCATTCCTCGTAGTGACACTGAGATTCAGGACCCAGCAAACACACTTCCCAAAGACACACACACTGAAGTCAGCAATGGGAAAGACACAAATATATCAGAGAGTAAGTTCTGACTTGTGGGTTTGAAACACTTGAGCCTTAAGTTGGAGAAAAAAAAAAACAATCAGCTGTGTGGTCTCGAACTGACAAACACATAGCTTTGCAGATTAGTAAAGTCCTGGTGTAATTCCTCAGCTATGGCCTGGGCTTTACTGATTAATCCACCACTGCAACACAAACTTTTTTTTTCTTTTTTTTTAAACGAAAGAACACTACAGGGACCAGAGACCCAGCTGGATCGGGACTATTCTGACCGTCTGTGCACCGTGATGCCTCTAAAGACACTCTCGACACATCGTCAACTGAGCTCAACCGCACAAACACTCACAAACGCACCGGAGAGTGTAGATAAGAAGGAGATTCCTGTTGAAATATGTTGTTAATATACTTTTGTAACGCACTGGGTTTTATTGTTCTAAAGCTCCAGCTTCCACGGTGCACTGTATCATTGTAGACATTAATGTTTTGACATTCTTTAGTGTGGTGAGAACCATTGTTATTATTACACAGTGCACTGACCTGCTTGAAGTTGAATGTGTCTGGTGTTGAAGTTTGAGGCCATTAAAAGTCTGTTTGAAATGTCTGTTGTTATTTCCCCGTCGGCGTGGTGGGAGAACTGGTCTTTGTCAGCCGGAATGTGGGCCGACTTTTATGATTCAAGGACTTATTTTCATCAGGCGACCCATGTGGTCCCATGGTTGTTGGACAGGGCAGCTCTGATCTAGTCAAGGACCCCGGTCTGTGTTCTGTACAGGCCAATTGTGTATTATAGCTACAGCAATGCTGCATTGTTTGCCCGTGAATGAGGTCCCTCTGTCTTAATCTTGCCTTAGTCGGTGGAGCCGCTCAAAGTCTCCCACACAGCAACGTGCTCTCGCTCACAACAAAAGAGTTGGCAATTTCCCCAAGTCACCGCTACTCAGTGTGTGATGTACGAATGAGTAATGACTCAGCAGAACTCGGTGTTTCAGACAAACTGCATGACCAGAGGTCAGAGGTTGAAGCAGGTTTCTTATGGCAGTTTAAACCTAGAGATGGTTACTGTTAGTTTTTTACTATTTCATATTTCAATATTTTTCTGCCATATCTCAAAATACAATGTATATGTCAGTATTTTGTATTTATAAAAAAACAATGACATAAGAAAGCAAAGCCATTCATTACAAATTACCCAGGGTGATTATGATACCATCGGGACAACAATATATTGAGGTTTTTAAAAACAATTTAAGTGTGATCCTAGACTCAGACTCTGTTCCACCTGAACATCAGTTCCTAACACTGGAACAGAGGGATCTACATTTGGAATCACTGGAGAAGAAAGAAAAGAAAAAGAACATGAACCAACACCAGGAATATTTGCATTGCAGTTGGACACCGCCCGAACTGTCATTACTAAAATGAAGCCGACTTCAGCTGATGAGTTCAGAATAAAAGCCAAGGGCCGACCAACAGGATCTTAACTATTTACCCTACATCGACCGTAACAGGCAGACTATCATTGGGCAACCAACTCTGAAGCAGCCAATCAATGCACATCAATCAATGAACACACAGAGCGATGTTCAGTTCAGTATTACACAGAGTCCAAAACCCAAGCTGTGACAAGCTCCGACACGAGAGCCCTGACCTCTGAATGTGTTTAATGGCTGAAGTAATAAACCGCAGATGACTGGGTTTGATGAAAAGTACTAGAACCCAGCCGTCTCCCGTGACTTAATAAGGATCGTGCGTTAATCTGCTAAAGGTCCAGTTACTGAACACTGAAAACACAGAAAAGCTGTTTGGCTCATGTCTGTGGCGGCAACCAAACTGGCGCTGGTCCAGCTGTGGGTGGGGGCGTCGTTATGTTTCTATACGTGCAGCGAAGGCTTCTGTCTGACACATTATACATGATGTTTGCACAAGTTGTTTACATTTTCTGTCATAGAAGCATGCACAGTTGGAGAGCCAACACCTTACTTGGAAATGCTCGGGGGGCCTCCATACCTGCTGTGGTATGTGGAGAGAAGAGAGACTCCAGTCAGTGGCCACAGTCTGTCCGTCAAAAAGAATGACACCAGATGGACGGGGGTCAAGGTTAACAGTCAGGGAGATGAGTTTCTGCGGCACTTAGAAGTGGAGCAGGAAATAAGAAGAGTAGGAGGGTGGACGTGTGACAACACTTGTCACACAGGCCTCGTCTCACAGAAGAGGTTGGGTAAGAGAAGCTGTTGGAACGCCACATCTGTTACAACGGGCCGATCTTCTTTGCTGAGAGATGAAAGATCTGCAACACAATACACGCGTCCAGCTGCTGCCGACCAAACGAGATCTGGAGAACCGTGTTAACTGAGAACCATCACACCTGTCAAAGATCTCCTTTCAAAGAACAATCTGCTGCTGTGTCTACAGACTCACAGACGGGCTCCAAACTGACCTGTAGAATGGGCTTGTTCTGACCTCTAGTGGCCGTTTGGTATACATCACCAAAGGAGCCCTTTTTTTTTATAACAGTTTTAACTGAAGAACTTGGCTGATTTGTTTGAATTTTGAGTTTGAATTTGAACTGTTTTCAGACTTTGTTCAAAATGCAGGCACAAGTGGTGGGAACCCGAATCTTTATTAGTTAACAGCACAAATCAGATGTGTCATATTGGACCCAGTCCACTTTGATATGTGCTCCTTAAATGTATTCGATATGTATCAGATGTTTTGTTGGTGTCACATTTCATTAAATCAGTGAAGTGTCAAGTGTTTCTCTGCTCATGCGTGTCACTCACTTCAGGGCCTAAGACTGTTGAAGGTTTAACATTTAAACTATCATTTGAACCACAAAAAAAAACAAACTTGGTGCTTCTTTTTTTTTTTAATTCAAAAATGAAAAACATGCTCCTTATATATATATATATATATAATAGTTATATACAAATTATACAAATTATAATTTGTGTTAGCAGCAGATCTGCTGCAACATGCTGTACAATTGAACGTCAAAACCTCCATATCCATTATTTTGAGGCAAAATATGGACTAAAATAATTTCAACTTTAAATTAGTTAAGTAGTTCAACCAGCTAGCCTGCCATAACTTACAGTATGTTGACCTGCAGTGAAGTGAAACTAAACGGGGTATAGCACAGGAAGCCAACGTGTTACCCTGCAGGTGCCTGACCTCGCCTGACAATCTGCTGCATCTCATCTTATCTGGGTGTGAGATGAGACAAGCAGATGTGAAACTAGTGGGTTGAGAAAATAACCGTTGTTGTTTGTTTGTTTTTTTGTTTCTCTAAAAAAAAGCTGTTATAATAAATATAAAAAGACAATAATTATCCCATGAACTGCAATAGAGCTGCAGAATCAAAAAACAAAAATATGTTGAAAGACAACAGTTTCAAAAATAGGAAGTCAGGCATCAGGCAGGGGAAGCAGACAATAGTTTAATATGAGCCCTTTGATGAGGTCATCTGCTTCATATAAATCACCAGCCTTCTTGTTGTTTCCGTCATGTTATTTTATGTTGTGTGTGTTTTTTTCTGCAAATTGCAAAATGTTTTCCTTTTGGCGGAATTGCACGGAATTGCACGTATGTGATGTAACGAGCGGTAGAAAAACACTTATATGCATAAGGGCAGAGCTTCCTTTTCCTCTCATCGTGTTCATCAAGAAACAGAGAAAAAGAATACAGCCCCACCTCTATATCCAACCTCGCATTTAAACACTCATCACGGACTTGCCCACATGGACGTGGACGCCGCAAAATGCACCAGGAAGGCCTGCACGACGTGTTTTTGTTTTTTGTTTTTGCTTGAAGCAAAAGTGTTTGTTCAACAGCCTGCTGTTTACGGAGGAGCATGAGGCATGTGGTTGCTTATGGTCTCTGACCCGGCTGTTCTGACCCCTGACCTTCATCACTGCTTATTATAAGAGGAGAGAAAAAACACAAGGTAAATGTTTTGATTATTATTTTTTTCCAACGCAGCAAAACTGCTGTGTTTTGCAATAACGTCAGAGACATTTCACGCTGCAACCTTTTGCAGAAAGCAAAAAATATGATGTAATTTCAGCTGGTACTCATAGAGATGCAGAAGCTTCTGGAACCTTTTTTGGAGACAAAGTAACATTGCTTACAGCGTCAACTGCCACCTTTGAAGGCACTGTTGATGAATTGCCATTTTATTCTAAGAATTTCGGAGCATGTTAACTGAACCAGGCACTTCCTTAAATGTGAGAAATTAACTTTCACAACCTGCCGAAGTACAGCGTGAATTGACTCAGCAGTACACAGTCAACACGAACTTTTTAAGATGAAGTATAGTGTACGTTTAAGAAAATGCAGCAGATTCACAAATAATTGTCTGTGGGCAGGGTGTGGTGACTCAGTAATGGCCAGAGGAAGGATGATGCTCGAGTGATAAGGGGAAAAAAAAAGAAGCTGCGTCTTCTTGTTGTTTCTTCTTTGATTTGCAAAGACTTGCAACAGTTGCACATGAAATGCATCATAGCTGGTTGCATAGACAAAAACAAAATGAAATCAGGTGGAATTTTATATGTTTTATAGTATATTATTTTTCTCTATTTCTTTACATTTAGGAAACAATTTTTTTTTACAAAAGCAGCATGTATTTTTAAATCTCTTTAAATTGGATGAAATTTGTTTCCATGAACTAATAATAATAATTATTATTTTATGATAAAGGACTTTTCTTTGGACTCAAAGGTGCTTATTATTTAACATGATTGTAAGGGGCTGTAAACAAACTGACAGACTGGTGACATGTGGTTCCAGTGCCTCAGGAAAGGAATGTCTCCAAATGCATCTCAGTTGTGGGAGGGGTCTATGGTCAACTCCTCCCCATCGTGTGGCCATAATCTGACCAAATGGGAGCACCACATGGAAAAGATGTACACCTACTTCTACCTGCTGCTCTTCATCCCCGGACTGGTTCTCAACTCCACTGCCCTTTGGGTTCTCTGCAGACACATAAGGTACCGTCCACAGACATATCAAAAAAAAAAAAAAAAAAAACGTAAACAAACTAAGTGTCCAACATGACGGACCCTGTCCGTTTTCCTCCGCAGTAAGAAGACCAAGGCAGTGATCTTCATGATAAACCTGGCCTTAGCCGACCTGACCCACATTCTCTCTCTGCCGCTCAGGATCTATTATTACTTCACACACACCTGGCCGTTTGGAAAGAGTATCTGCTTGTTTTGCTTCTACCTCAAGTACCTCAATATGTACGCTGCCATAGTGTTTCTGGTAAGTAGGCAGTTAAAACAGTTAAACATTTTGTTGTTTCTTTGACGGGGATTCTAGAAAGAAAGTAGTTTTTTTGGGGGGGGGGGTTTGCGACCCATATTTCGGAATTCTAGCAGCATCTGGGCAGCAATTTTTCTCATATGGTGTCTGATAAACCCTTTTTTTTGATTGGTCAGAATTTGAAGAGGGAGAGGTTAACTCTGGTTGAAGTGAGAGGTTAAACATGCCTTCTAAGTTTTTTTTTTGTTTTTTGTTTCCACCAACCCCTTAGCAATAGAGAAGTACAAGAACAACAGCCGCCCCTCCCTACACCCACATATTGTTCTCCTCCTCCACTTCCTCCTTTATCAACTACAAAACTGCAAACTGTGCCACTTGTACCCTGTTGTACTATAAATTGACTCTGGGTTGGTTTTTTTCTGTTCATTTTCTTAATCTTTTTTTCAGGGGCTTGTTGTTCAGAAAGTGTAGTTGCTGTTTTTGTTGATGTTTCAAAAATTCATCTTGTGAGACCTGGCAACGCTGCTTTGACTGTCGGTTTGATTGATTGATTGCTGTATCTTTGATGGTGCATTTCGGCAGTTACTACTCTCAGTTACGCTGTCACTATTCTGCCTGTTCCCTGTGTTTCCAGGTGTGCATAAGCGCCCAGAGGTGCGTTTTTCTGCTCAACCCGTTCTCTGCTCGGAAGTGGAGGAGACGCTACGACCTGATGATCAGCCTGACGGTGTGGGTACTGGTCAGTCTGGCCTGCTCGCCATTCATTCTGATGCGAAGCAGTAGTGCCTCAAACGCATCACTCAACATCACTGCACAGAATATTCACAACACGTCTGTTTTCCTGGCTGATCCATCAAAACAAAGTCCCACAGGAACCACCAAACCGTATCCGCCACCTTTGGGTTCAAGCCTCATCAGACTCTCATCGATGCCCAGTCCTCAATCCACAAAGGTGGGCTGTTTTAAAGACTTGCCCATGCGGCGTCTGCCCATGTCCATGGCCGTCACCATGATGGCTCTGGCTGAGCTCTTTGGCTTTGTCATTCCCTTGGCCTGCATCACCTACAGCTCTGCCCGCATCACCTGCTCCCTCAACAAGAAGAAGACGGAGGGTGAGCAACAATCTGTGGCTCGCTGCCGACTTCAGTCGGTTACTTCGGGCTCTGATATCGATCGAGTCCAGGATAAGCAAACGAACGGCGATAAGCGGCGTGCGCTGCGGATGGTGCTGAGCTGCTGCGCTGTCTTCATGCTCTGCTTTGCCCCCTACCACATCAACTTCATGCTCTACCTGATGGTGTCACAGGACATACTGACCCACTGCACCACCCAACTGGTGGTACGCCAGTTCCACCCGCTCTCTCTCTGTCTGGCCAGCCTCAGCTGCTGCCTGAACCCGCTGCTGTATTATTTTCTAACGGCTGAATTCAGGCTACACCTTAAAAAGCGCACCTCCTCCTTCTCCTCCTCCCATCTGTATTCACCGGTTGCTTCCCCGACGCAACGTCTGCCACTTCACAGACTAATGAGTGAGGAAAGTACCTTCTCAGACAGGGAGTAGCTTCAGCTGTAGCTCGACAAAGCTAACCTGGGAACGGAGCGATGAACATGAACATCCTGACGAACAGGTTGATGAAGAATTGTCAAGCCCCCCCCCCCACGTCAAACACACCTTCAAAATTCCACCTAACCTAATGAAACTACTGTTTTTCCTACAATATAGATATTCTCGCTGAACAAAGAAAATAAAGTGAGCGTTGAATTGAAATTAATTTTCCCTGTTGCATGTATTTATTATTATATTCATAAAAAAGGTTCTTTAACTGACTTTTTTTATTATTTGTTTCACAAATTGTTGAGAAATCCCAAATAAATGACATAAATGTGGTTTAGGTCAGAACGGACTAAATAATAAAAACTAGCACACAACTAGCATTCTAGGCAATTTTGAAGGCATTTTACTGGTAATTACTTAGCATTAAGATCAGGTATAAAAGGAGCATCTCTGAAGGGATCGCTTCTTTTTCTGAATTACAGATCCTAATTTTAGGTCTATTTCGTGAAACTGTATCAACTTTTCTGAAAGCTACATTGTATTTATCACAGCTATACATAAATGCACAAAATAGAGACTCCGTGCGGTTTTGTCTTGTGGTAAAGTTTGTACAATGTGTCTCGCATCTACAGGACAGGTCCGGGGGGAGGGGGGGGTGACTTTATGCCACTGTGTTTCTTTTGCATTGCAAAGTGAGACAGTTGGCAGCAGTTGCACAGCTCCAAAAAAAAACAACCCAGTAACTGCCACCCTTTGAGGTCACCTTTAAGACTGAAACCAAGCCTTCACACGCCCACCTTTTCAGGCATCCGCTGTGAAGCAATGCAGGGTTGCAGGGGATAAGGGGCTTGGTATTTGATATGCCTAATAGAACATGCCCTTTGTGTCGTTCTCTACAATGTTTATTAATCAGTGTATTTTTATTATTCAAATTATTATTTGTAAAACAAACAAAAAAAAAAAAACGAGAAGTCCAGCAAAGAGGCGTCATTTAGAGGAATACACAGAGGCACTGCAGTACATGTGGTCAGGAGGGGAGGTACGGGAGGCAAGGAGCATGATAGCAGAAGTTACGGTGTCAAACCTTCTTGTAAACCCCTCCCCTACAGTACGAGCAGGAAGTGTGCTGAAACCCCCCCACTGCCGCACAGGAACGTAGAGTAGAGCGCCGACCAGCTCACAAAAGAAGAGAACAAATGAAAACAGGAAATCACAGTATTTTAGTTGAAGACTAAAGACACTGTGAGAGAGGACAAGTGTTCACGAGACACTAGAAAGACAAAAAGAGATAGAGAGAGAGACAGAGAGAGAACATGGACAGCGTTGGGGGAAGAAGGGTGAGAAGATGTGATGTGTGCCGGCTGATGCTCCAATATTCACCTCTCTAATGTGACGGGGGTTTGAAGTCTTGAACTCTTGAGGTAAGATCCCAGACCTATCTGTGTTTTAAAGAAAGTAACACTGAGTTTGAGCTTTTGTGTGAGAGGCTGCATGCTTTCACAGTTGAGTCATCTCTCAGAGGGGTGCGGGGGGGGACCTCATGTGTTTCTCCATCGTGTGGAATGTCTGTAATGTTGAGTGTCTGTGTGTCTGTTTATCACAGTGCCATGTGTACGTATATCTACTACTTGAACTCGGTGTCACCTCATGGTTCCGAGTGTGGGGTTCATCACCCTTAAAAGGTGATTAGGGTGCCCACCGGTAACATCTACGTGGGCCAGATGTGTGTGGAAGTGGAAACACTGTGAAACATGAGCGGCCCACAGAGAAGGAGCGATGATTCACAGATCATAAAAAAAAAAAATGTCTTTCCACTGCCATGAGCTGAGAACATTTACTGAAGAACCTGTGATCACAGAACATAAAACTAACACTTTTTTTTAAATCTAACTACAAACATCTTGTAAATGAATATCTACTTTAAGATATAAATATTGTCAGTGTAACATCAATGATCAATACCCACATTTGTAGCTGTTGACGAAAGAGAGTGGGTGTCTAATACAGAGATGAAAAGAAAAAAAAAAGATTGTGACAAAAGAAGAAAATACACATTTAGGTTAGAGGTGTGGGGGAAATCCACTGGGAGAGAAAGAGAGAGGAAGCCACAGTTTCACGGTACAATTTTTTAGCTGATCTTCCTCCAAACCTGAAGAACCAACTATATTTACTGAGTTTCATTTCCTGTGCCATGTAGTACCAGGGATCCAGGATCTAAGACTGAACCTGGTCGTCACATCTGTCAAACTCCAGGCAGAGCTGATTTAGCTTTGACACCAATTTCTCAACGTATATGTCAACGAAGTTTCAATTTTACTTCATAGTTACTTGACGAAATATCAAACACAGACATACGGTACACAGAACTAAAACGATGACAAAACGCCTTGAGAATATTGACTTTATATCTGGTCAGATGAGTTCATATATTAATGTTTCGATTCGGTTCACGTTTGTGTGACTCGCGTGTGTGTCCTGTCGTTGAAAAACACTGCAGTGATGTTAACGGAAAGATGAAACCAAGGAAATTTGCATTCTACCTGACAGCATGTAGAGAACCCTCTGAACCCAGGCATTAGGGATAAAGGAGAACCTCAAGGTCATCTCTTTTATCAGAAGGTCAACACAACAGTAGTCCATAGAGAGATAATGCAGAGTTTTTACACCAGATGTCATTCAATACTCAAACCAACCTGGGTTTGAGCACTACATTAGTGGGTTATAGTCGTATCACTGCCTCAATCAGGCTTTTCAGATGATGAGACTAAAATTAAACATATGAGGTTATGAACTCAGCCTGGGAGAGTTCGTTCTCATCATCATCAACAACAAGACGGCCCCATCACAGAGGACAATGAACGCAAGCACGGGGCAAAGTTGGAACTCAAGTGGCTGCAGCTGGCAAGTGTCCGTTCCAATATATTTGTCACAATCTGCTAAGTGAAATATCCTCGGATGGCCTGAAGAGATCAACCTTGCACCGAACTCACTGGTCTGTTTAACCAGAGGAAATTTAATTTTGGTCCAGTAATTTGTACCTAAACTTTAGATAAAATTTGCGAAATAATCACATTATATATATATATATATATATATTTGTATGTATATCTAGTAATTCAACCTCCCATCACACTGCAGAAAGAAACCCCCAGTTTGTGTTTGTGGAGGCTCAACCTCAGGTCAGCGACACGACTGAAGTTTAGAAAGAATTAAAAGTTGAAAATTTTAGAAAGAAATATTAATGTTCCCATCATTTGTATTAGTCAAAGATAAAAAAAGAAGATGAGAAACACTGACCTCTACCGGCTATTATTGGACTTTCTGTTCCGGTAATATGGAGAAATTATCATATTAGGGGAAAAAATAGTTTATCTAAATGAATCACAATTACTCTATTACTATAAACATAAAACTACAAAACACAACACGAATATAAAACAGAAATAAGAAAAAACCCAGAATTTTAGATATCAAAATACAGTAAAATTCAAAGTACACTTTTTAAAACATATAAAGCAGTAAATGCAGCACATACAAAAACACTCCAAACAACAAATCAAATGTTCTCCGGCATTAAATTGTTAAATTAAAGGAGTCATGAATACGTTCAAAAGTACTGTTTACTCCAGACAAATACTATATAAAGTACATTTTACAGTTTCTACTCACCGCTCCGTGAATACAGTTCCATCACAGGTCCGTCCACCACTGATGCTGATAGCAGCGTAGGCTAAAGAGCTCCGTTGTTGTTGATTCCTCCAGTTAAGTGTCGCTGATAGCAGCGTAGGCTAAAGTTGTTGTTGATTCCTCCAGTTAAGTGTGACCGTGGGAAAATGTAAACAACCGCGTCCGCACATTTTGAAAAAAAAAAGAAAAAAGAAATTTGTTTGTTTTCTCCATTTCGCCATTTAACCATTTAACCACTTAACGTCTAATTAAGCTGTGCGCCAAAAGGTTTGTTTTGAGTCTGTCTTCCGGAATACAGTCTGCACATGCGCACTAAGGTGGATCATTCCATTGATAAGGACGATAGGTGAGGCCGCCGAAACCACCTGGGGAGGGGCGGCGCGAAAATGACGTTTTAGAAAGTATATCGCAACCTGATATAGTACTCTCGAAGAACTTTTATAAACCGAAATATGTGTTTTGTAAATTAACTATGGAGGTTACTTTTAAAATTAGTAAACAATTCCCCGAAGAAATAGGTAAAAAAACATCCTACGCTGTAGCGTCACTGGTCTGATTAGGAAAAATCAGCCAATCAGGATGCTCAATGTTTCTACGTAGTGCACACACATAATCGCAGATATGCGATATACACAGTAGTACACCCAAATACGTGGTAGTACTGCTGTCGTACTATGATACCATGCGCACTCTCTCTGCCTTCAAATGTAGCCACTAGTTTGCTGTACGAGATCATTAGGTGTGTCGTGGAACACGATCCAATTTCACGTAATTGGGCTGAAATCTATTATTTATTTATTTGTTGCATATAATTTTTCTTTGCTCGACAAAGCATGAAAGGCAGAACAATTAAATACTCTTCTGCTAGGTGGCAGCAGATGGCCTATGAAAAACAAAAAGAAGAAGAAGCTAATCAGAGCTGTTGAAAAAGATCTTTGTGAGTGTCTTTCTTCAATTCCTGACAGTATATCAGCGTTATAAGTGTGAGTCCTACAGCGTGATAAACTATGAAAACTACTGTGGTAGTTTATGCAACTACAGTATGTAGAAGACACTCACAGCTCATACTGTACCACAGGCAGTAATGTATGTAGTTCGAGGGAGTGCCACCCAAACCTACACAAATTTAGGGCTAATTTACTGTGCATTTGCATGCTGAGTTGTTCCAAGCCCGGTTTGTGGTAGTTTCCACCTGTGTATGACTTAGTTACAGTTGCTCATGTGTGGGTTTGCACGTCTTCTGTAGCGAGTCAGTCCGCTGGATGCGACGTGAACACTGTCATGCGTGTGGGTTTGCAAATGTGTGTGAGCTTTTGACACTTACTGTTCTGTAACATTCAGTTTCCTCTTCGTGTTTCAGTGGTCGACAATATGCTAAGCAGGCGGTGTTTTTGTCATTCGTCTCACTTTGTTCTGCAGCAGGAACCTGTCAGACACGACGAGTTAACTCTCTCTGGGATGCTGCGAAGGAGGAGGAGGAGGGAGGCTCACAGCATGAAGTCCACCTGGTAAAAACAGCATGGCTGTTCAAGCAAAACTACCGCCAGACAAGCAACGATCCCGATTCTAACTTCCTGTTGTCTCTGAAGCAGCCTGTCTGTCTAAGATGAGCGTTGACAACCAAAGCTGTGAAAACAGTGGCGACCTGAAGACCTACCAACATCATGTGTACGCAGTATGGTACAGCTTGATCCTAGCACCGGGCCTTCTGGGTAATGTGTTGGCACTGTGGGTGTTCAGGGTCTACATCAAAGAAACCAAGAAGGCTGTCGTGTTCATGATGAACCTGGCTGTGGCTGACCTGCTGCAGGTAAGGTTTCCTTCCATTTTTTATGCAGAAAAAAATGTGCATTTTGGAAAATATACATTGTTTTTGCTTTTTTTCCAACATAAAATCCAAAATATACCTGAGAGCTATATGTATCCAGAAGGTCACAGGTTCAAATCCACCAGTCCACCTCAGCAATTCACACGATTCTACCTATTACAATACCTTTTTAAGTATCGGTGTACCACTAGAGGGAGCCCAGGTATCATTAGTTGTAATCATACCATAGTTTAAGAACTCCTCACCTGAACCAATCACAGCACAGACCCCCTGGTAAGTGGGTCTATACTGTACCTGCAGAAAAAGAAAAAAAAAACCGTGGAAAAAGAAAACCCTTTTCTGACATTGACCTTTGACCTCCTCAGGTTCTCTCTCTGCCTTTGAGGATATACTACTACCTGAACAACACCTGGCCTTTCGGACATTTCCTCTGCATGGTCTGCTTCTATATCAAATATGTCAACATGTACGCCTCCATCTACTTCCTGGTGTGCATCAGCGTGCGTCGCTGTGAGCTCATCATGCGACCACTCAGGTACAACTCACCCAGGAAAAAGGGAGACCTGTTGATCTGTGCCGTGGGCTGGCTCTTTGTCTGTCTGGCCTGTCTGCCCATACCCCTGCTCCGGATCCCCATCTCCGACTCTGACAAAGACCCGGTGTGTTTTGCTGAGCTGCCCATGAGGCAGGTCAGTTCTTCAGAAGCCTGGGCTCTGCTGATCATAGCTGAGCTGACGGGTTTCATCATCCCTCTGATCCTGGTGCTGGCCTGTGCCTGTCTAACTGCTGGCAGTCTGAAAACCCTGACAGAGGGAGCGGTCCATGACCACGGGGAGAAGCGGAAGGCGTTGAGGATGGTGCTGAGCTGCGCCGCCGTGTTTTTGCTCTGCTTCGTTCCGTACCACGTCACCTTCCCCCTGGACTTCATGGTCAAAGCCAACACGGTGAAAAGCTGCTCCTTCAGGGGTCTGATCCTGCGGACTCACCCCGTCACTCTCTGTCTGGCCAGTTTGAACTGCACCCTGGACCCGCTCATGTATTACTTCACAACCAAGGAGTTCTGGAGACGACTGAGCCATCATGACGTGACAGAGGTCGGCGCAGGCGGACACAGGCGCAGGTCCTGCATCACTGGGGGAGACGCTGCTGCACATGAATAGACTATATCTACATTAAAGGACCCAGTGGTTCCTAAAGAGGGGGGCAGGTCCCAAAGGAGGCACAAAGCTATTTTAAGGGGTGGGGGGGGCGTAGAAGGCAAATGAAATTCAAATTTCAAAATGTTCTTTTTTTGTCCCACACTGTGAAAGCTGCGGTGATTTTTAATTTAATGTTGTTTACAAAAGCAGACACTGCAAAAATAATGAGAACCACGAGGTTCATGTTAGGTTAAACATCTAAACTCCAAGTTTAAACATTCTTTGCATTCCTTAGGAAATGTTTAAAGTTTTAAATGATGGGGCAAAACATATTTTTTTGTATTTTCAGCATTTTTTTAAATTGTAATTTAATGATTATCAATAAAGACTTGTGTCTGTTCTCTCCACGTGACTTATGTGAACACTCTTAGTTTCGTTATGGAAAGAATAGAAAACCCACCAGGACCAGGGTGAAACAGTCACAACAATATCGCTTGACAACAATCGATAATCATCTGCAGTCATTGACACGATCTACTAGTCATCCGTTGAAACTCGAGATAAAAAGCCAACATATTTCGTAAACACACTTCCTGAATGATAGTCATTCTGAGAACATTTAGAACTGAAACTGTGAAATACGACTTTATTTGTCAGGAAGCCATTTATTCAAACTCACAATATTTTTAAAGACATGGAAATGAATCTAACACAGTAATGTCGACACAAGATAAAGTGACTTTTTTTTTTAAACACACAGTACTAAAAACTAGGTGTTTTTTTTTTTTTAGTAAAGACATTTCTACAAAGTGATATTTGGGAATTGAAAAGCAAGTGTCAAATTATACAAAATACCCTCCACCCTTTATTTTAGCTTATTGACTTTTGTTGCTGAAGAACCAACCTCCAGGTCAACTTACACCCATACACGAGTCACATAAACAGCAGTGATGTCCGATATTAACTTTCTACCGATATGCCACATGCCGATATTTTCCAAACACTGAATTTGCAGCTCATTTTTTATAAAATTTGCAGCTCATTTTTTTTAAATAAAATGTGCTGCCATCTAATGACTTTCACTTTATTTTTTATTTTAATAAAATGTGCTGCCATCTAGTGACTTTCACTTTAACATACAGCCATTTATCCCCAACAGTATCTTTAGAGCACCCATCATTTGGCAAAAACCCAGGAATTGTTTTATCGGGTTTTCATTATCGGAACAACCGCTAACGAATGTTACAGATATTAGATAATTACGCTAATATCGGCCGATAATATCGATCGGCCAATATTTTCTGGACATCCTTAATAAAAAGTTTCTCTTGATCATCCTCTTCACAGGGACAGCTGGGACTTCTGGAAATAGCAGGGTATTCTGGGAAATATCTACAAAGTGGCGACAGAGCTCTGGGGGGCCATCACTCACAAACATGATAAACATGTCACATGTGGTAATGAACTTCATGTCTCTGGAGGCGACTTGTGCTAAAACACACTAATACTTGTGTATATTCTGCACGGTACACGAGGAGCTGTGTGTAGTGGGGGAGCAGCAGGCGGACACAGACAGATCTGGGATCAGTGGGTTCTCGTCATGACTAAAACGAGCAGCAGCCGCAGCAGCTCTCGTCTACAGGAGTCCAGGCTAAATGTTGCAACACAATATCAACGGCTAGGACTAGTCTGCGGGAAGTCACAGCAAACAAACACAAATAAAACATCAGTAGCATCGTCGGTTAGCAGGCTAACGCAGTTCATCAGAACACAACCAGTCAGCAGAGGGCGTGATTGTGCAGGGAGCTGTAAAGAGTTGGTTAATATAGTGTAGCAGAGGATAAAGGCCGGGCTGGAACACAACACTGTAACTGACACTAGTGCATCACTGGGGAGGAAGCAGGAAAAGAAGAAAAGGCTGAAAATAGAGATCTATACAAAACAAAACAACAACTCAACGCTGTTCCCTTCTGTTCCAACATCAAACCAGCTTCTCGCACTCACTCCGACTCGTTTCACCCTGCGTTCACAGTTTGCAGATCTTGGTCTCGGTCACAAACTTGTTGGCAAAGTGCTGGATGGTGAAGCACTCGTTATCTGCAGAACGTTTCTGGATGCCTCCACCTGACGAACACAGAGGCCGGGAGAATGAGTACACGAGTACTGGTAGTTAATACCATTGACACTGTGTATATATATACATATAACAATTTAAATGGTTATATTTCTGATGGCTGATGGATTGGCTAACGAAGCTAACAAAGCTAACGAAGCTGAGTTATATATATCAGACTGGACCGGCGTTGCATCCTGTACGTTTCCTTTCCGTCGCACAGCCGGCGGATGTAGTAACCCAGAGGTTTGACGTCGTCGATACGCTCCGTCACCACCAGGTCCTCATGGACCAGGTAGCTGCGGTAGGATCCAGACTGGGGGAGGACAAGAAGGGATGTGTCAGAATGGCATCCTCCCTGATGGTTATACACTATACATGAATAATGTTGTCATTTTTTTTATGTAGTGTATTCTTCATTTGTGTTGTTTTAAACACTTTTCTTTACAAATTTAATGACAAAAATATTATATATATATATATATATATATATATATATATATATATATATATATATATAAAATAAGGGAATATAATTTAGGTTTATGGCAGTTTAACAGAAAATACTCAGATCTGTTTTTTTTTATACCATATTGAATTTTGGTCAATAAAAAAAAATGAAAAAATGAAAGTGACAACTTCTGCTCACCATCAGCTGTAAGAACAGGTCAATGAGGTCCTGCGGGGGGAGCACCACCGATGTGTTCAGATGAATGACAAAGCAGGTCCTCAGAGTCAGGTCCAGATATGCTGTCAGTTTCTGCACGCACACACACACCACACACACAGGGTCATTTCTTTGAGTTTGAATGACAGCTACACATCTTCAGCGTTTCAGTGGGTGAGACTCCGTCTTCCTCACCCTCTTAAAGTCGTGCAGTATATATGCGGGGTCACCAGGTCTGAAGTGTGGAGGGGGGACGCTGATGACCGCCATGTTGTCGGAGATCTCCACCTCCTCCTCTATACGGGGCAGGTAGTACGGCTGGTTCTCTCCAAACACCTCGTGTGGCCCGTCATTGTACTGCATGGTGCCATGATAGAGCCTCTGATGTGGGACAGAAATGTTAAAATGTTTTTTTTTTTTTAATTTCATCTCTCTGACACAAACTGGAAATAAAAACTTTAACTGATCTTTTTGCTGTGATGTTTTTCTCCCATCTTGTTGATGTGATCACATGACAAACTGGTCTTTATTTACATGTCAACATTTGCCTGTGCACCGACGCCAGCAGCAAAGCACGTGACCCTGTGGTAATCTCTCACAGCCAGTGGACTCTCTGTCTCCCATCTGTCTCTGTCTCAGTGAAACATTATCGACGCGGAAATCTGCAGTAGCAGATTGAGACGACTAGAGGGAGCCAAAGTACATGTTCTCTTCTTTTTTAAATCCTAGGTAAGTTGCACATTGAGGTCAATGAATATCCTTTAAGAGCAGAGCAGCTTCATTTATTTGCTTGAATTTAATTATTCTGCACTGAAATGTTAAATGTTTGCAGTAACACGGTTAGGAATTAGTAAAGTACAGTAAAATAACTATATAAAAATGACATCATGTGTGGATTTTGAATATCAACAACACCGGATAATGAAATTAAAAAAAAGCCTTGGACACACATTTAGTTACACACATGTGCATACACACACAAAGTACACAGTACCTTTGGTGTGAAATAGCGATACAGACAGGCTCCGCCCACAATTAGTCCACTCAGAATGAAGGCGATGCCCAGCAGTGTGAGGAGACACCGACCTGTGGAGCCTTCATGGATGACCGGGGCGGAAGCCAACTCTGGATCCTGGGAGGGGGAGAGAGAGCGAGAGAGAGGAAGAGAGTTAGAAACTTCAGCAAACTCCTACTTTAGGTCCATCTAGTGGCAGCGATGTTTGGGGAAAATTGCAGAACATTAGAAAAAAAACAATGTGATATAACAGTAATTACCAGTAAATAATACACACATCAAGTATGAGTGTGCAGTCATAGCAGGTTCACTGTGTCAAATGTAATACTGACAACTGTCAGAGGGAGGCGATCAGGAGTCTGACGGACAGACTGGCTGCTAAACCTTGGTGTTTAACAAATCTCTTGTTAAAGCTGCTGCTGTGTCCAAGCTGCAGCTCACGGCCTGGACGTGGACCACTGACCCTCAGAGTCTCGTGGATAGGTTTATTCACTCTGCTGTCATCTACCACCCAGAGACTGCTGTCCCAGCATGCAACAGCACAGATGATGACGAGAGGGTGATTATGATGAGTTAGTGACTTACGGAAATTGATCAAGAGTAGATTGATCAGCAGAGTAGATGTGGGAATAGACTTCCTGTTGGAGGAAGTTGACAGCAAGGGTGAGGGGTGAGGTGGGGGGTGATCTCTGCTCCCCAGGAGTGAGTTGAAGAGTGAAACGCAGAGGACAGAGTTCACTGTGTTTATGTCTGTGTACAACGACAATAAAGATGATTCTTCTTCAGATACACCTCAGTATTATTATTATTATTGTTATATAATTCATCTCCATTTCCTAAAGTTGACCGATCTTTCCACTCCCACAGAGCTGGGCCTGTGTGGACGGTCCCACCCACCTCCCGTTGACTCCCGCTGCAGCAGGTGCTACATGGACGTGGATGCTTTCTACCAACCAACCAACCGACCAACCAACCAACCCCCCCAAAACAACACCTTCCCAAGAATAGCACGCTAGCTCACAATGACAGTAGCATGCGGAGCTAAGCTCAGAGCTGACCGTGTTGGAGGCCTGCAGTCTCAGCCTCTCCTTGCTGCAGACACCGCTCTCTTCTCTTCCCTCCCCCCTCTCTCTCCCCCACTGTCCTCCGTTAACTCACCTTCTCCGCGGCCACAGTCATCTCTTTACCCAGCGCCTTCTGCGCCAGGGCCGAGTTGAAGGCGATCTTCACCATGTTGTTGCAGCGTCGGTTTGTTGCCTCTTGTGTGAGCAGACAGTTGGAGCTGGAGGTGGAGATGGTCGCTGTTCGACTGCGTCGCTTCTCAGTAAAGCCGCTCTGTGACGCACTTTGCAGCCTCGGCTTTATCCGCCACTTCCGGTCACTGCAGCGTCTCCCGAATCTGACGCTGCTGAGTTTTTAATTTAAATACAAACAATAAAACGGAAACACGCACGTGTTCGAATTCACATTTATAAAACACGGGTTTTTATATATATTTTACAAACGTTGTACTAGTCTTGTTTTTATTTGTAATTTGGCGCCATCCTGTGGCTGCAGGCGGGAACTATCATCACCATCATCATCATCCAAACCGATTCCCGTCTGTGTTTAAAAAACCAGAAGCCAAACTGATCTAAAATGTTGTCCGTAAACATGTGGAGTGACGTCACAGTTCAATTCAAACGTTCATCGGTAGCGTTTATTTCCACATTCAGCAGAATTCCTGTAACTTCTGTGACAAACTGCACAAGACAACAAGCGTGCGTGTACGCGCGTTTGCGTGCGCGTGCACGCCTCATGTGAACCTGGCACAGGTCACAGAATCTGGAAATGATTCAACCAGATCATAGATGCTTCAGTTGTCTTTACCCGTGCATGCACGTGTGTGTGTGTGTGTGTGTGTTTGATGCAAAGTCAACATGGCTTCTCTTCAACAGTGCTTTGATTCTGAGGTCATTTCCCCTGAGTTTTCTCTCCGAGGAACCGAACACACGTCCATCACTTTCTGTTCTTCTGCCTCTCGTCCTTTCATCCTATCAGCTTCGACCGTCGTTTCTTTCTACCTGAGCCAACTGCAGTGTCCTTCATCACATGCACATGTGAGCCGCCCTTTTTTTCACCTGCCACTCAAACCTCGGCCTCTCCTTCGTTCCCGGGGTTTTAGAATTATTTTCCCCCCGTCGTCTTTTCATCACTTCTTGCATCACGCAGACAGTTGAGGGGCAACAGTAGGGGGAGTCAGAGTGAAGAAAAAAACCAACAAAAAACTGGGTTTGAAGAGGCCCAACTTACATCATGTGTTACAGAATTTTAGTCTGCGGAGAGAGCTGCGGCCTTACAGCGGAAAGGTCAGGGGTTTGTGTACCACTGTGGGACCACAGACCAGTGTTTTATCTAGTCACTTAAAATGTTTGAAAATCAAATGTATTTAAATCCACTAAAAAATAATTCATTATTTTTAAAACAAATATTAAGCAAAATTTTCCAATTCAAATTACATTTCGTAGACACATTTTTGTCAACTGTTACTTTATGTATTTATATATATATATATTTAATTTTTTTTACCTTTGAGATAAGGTACAACCAGAGAGTGTCGGGCCGCAGTGCCTTAAGGAGAAGCGCTTTAAATGCAACCCTGGTGCAACTCAATCCTGAACTCCACTCCGACATCACTCCGTTCCCACCAGAGCTCAGTACGGAATTATCACATTTCCCAGAGGTGAGCCAATGGGAGAGGGCGATGAGGAGGAGAGCGACGGAGCAGAGGCAGCTTTAGAAGCCGATACCTACAGGAAACACTCATTTGTCACCGCTGTCTGAACGCCACATGTGTGTGTGTGTGTGTGTGTGTGTGTGTGTGTGATGCACTCTGATATTGATGGGAGACCAAAGAGTGAGGCTCAGCCTCATCCCTCTCTGCCACATGTTGCTATGATCTGCTGTTTTTGGTTTTCCCATACTCTGCTCTCTCTCTCTCCCTCCCTCCCTCTCTCCCTCTCTCTCTCTCTGTTCTTCTCTGACCACGGAGTGTTTTCCCACTTGAAGCACATGGTGATTATGGCAGGTCCACAGGACACTTGTCAGTGACGTTATGAAACAGTCTAAATATATGGATTAACAGCAGCTCTGTGGTCTGTTGTTACCATAGCAGTTCTTTACTCCCCCCCCTTTCCCCCCCCCTCTCTCC